GAGATGTCTTGGTATGATACAAGGTCGGTCGAGCATCTCTGATTGGAGTTAACCTTACTACCTTGAAACACTCACAAACCAGCAGTCCTCATAACATCATACCCTCATTAGGATATTAGTCCCCGCTAACTTTATTAGACGGTTGATCCCAGACAAACGAAGAAACAAAAAATTGAAAAAGAATAATAGGTAAGATGTCGGACAAACTACGGAGTTTCAATTAGGAGTCCTTGCAGTAGGTTTACGAGAGGAGGGTGGGGGGGGGGGGGGTCACTAGTCCAGAAATGGGAGGCCTATATAGGGAAAACTCTGGAAAGCAGTATCTCGCGTTGCGTTATATCGTGTAGTTTTCAACCATGTTTAATACAACATACTCTGATCGTGCTAATCGAGCCTATTCATTTTGCATCCACTTTTTGTACAATGTCACTTTCATACGGCACGTGGTACTTCATCAGATATAGAGCAAAAGAAACGAGAACAAAGTTTAGGCCACTTTTCAAAATAAACGCAATGTAATTATGACAGCTAAATACAAGTGTGTGTATTATTATGATTCGTTTTCGTTTGTCTGTTTGTTAGTTTGTTGTTCATAGTTTTGGTCTTTTAAAGATTGTTTTGTTTACTTTAAGAATTAGCTTTCAATTTCATTAGAAACAAAATCAAATCATTCCTCTTTATTTTGAAACTTCTGAAACGAGGAGTTGGTAATAGCAATTAGAGAATGCAAACGTACATGTCTTTAAGTTACAGAGTCGTTTAAACACAGATATGTCTCCATATTTAGATGCTTTGGGTATAAAAATGATAAGACATAGATATACCCGGTGTCTTAAAGTAAGTGAAGATTATAATGGAAGATATGATCTTCAAATGTGTCTTGTGGCTTTTCGTCAGAAAAGGAAACCGCAGACCCAGTGGTCGGTTATTCACTGTGACCTGCGCACTGCATGTCTTAGATTAAAGATTGATTTAAGGTTAATAGGAAGATGGAGTGTCCAGGATTCATACTTCAAGGTCACCGAGATGTCAAAGGTCTACAAGAGTCTGGAAGGGATGTTCCATGACTTTCAGTAGGTCAGGAAGAAATCGTTTGGAAGGAGATGGAGAAAGATGGAATAAAGCTTTTTAAATGTTTCTAAGATAACAATGATAACAGCGATGAATTCATTATGAATAGAAATAGATAAATAAGTAAATTAAATGATAACAAATACTTCTACTGATGATGATGGTATTGAGGGCGCTATTTCAGTTGCTGCCCAGCCCAAGATTTTGTGGCTCTAGAATTTTACATTTTTAAGCATTTTCCTCTGTGTTCCTGTTGTGACTGTTTCGTTATTGTCTTCATCAATATTTCTGGATTTTCTCTTACTTTGGTCTTCGTCTTCTCTCCTCTCGACACCGAGATCTCCTGCCCGAGTTCCGAGGGCAGAGACAACGACTCGTCAGCTTCGGAATTCCAACGAACTCAATATCCCAATGTGTAGAACCACGAGATATCGCAAATCTGTGATACCTACCATTGTACGGCTGATAAACTCAGATTTGAAATAAGCCTGTATATACCTGTATTTTTAAAATTTGCAATCCAACAATGCAATTCTGTTAATCACACCTAGTTTGTTGCCGAATTTTTCCTTTTTTTTAAACAGCTATTTTTTATTTTTTTTAATTTTTGGTGTAAATTCAATTTTCAATAATAATTATATTTCTTAATTTGGATCTTGAAGCAAATACATGTGTATTAACCATGTTTTGCCTAATTCTGCAATCTTTTATATTTAAATATCTATAATGAATATATCAATTACATTGCGGTTTGTGCTCTAGGATTCATTGTTTCATTTTGTAGTCGGTTTAAGTTGGTCTAAAAAATTATGCTGCATTTACGTTGTACGGTTTTATATTTGTATTATAGTTTATTAACATATTATCCGATTATTTCTCTAATTCTCCATTCAGCCTATTTCTCTGTCCTACTCTTTATCTGTCCCTTTTTTGTGTAGTTTCCTCGCCAGGTTCTCTTTCTCATTTCTCTACGCCCTCTCTCTCTCTCGCTCTCTTTCTCTCTCCCCTCTCTGTTGTTGTGTTACCAGTCCTTCAATTATCCTTTAGTCATTCGTTTCAATCTCTTCTCTTGTTTCTCTCCTTTTCTTTGATTATTTATTGTGAATTGACATTTATATGTATATGTTATGCTTTTGTATGTATCTTTTGTAAAATCAATTTGTTTCAGCCTCTGGCTGCTATTTTAATGTTTTTTAATCAATACACCATATCAAATCAAATCAAATCAAATAAGTAAAACATATACTACTACTACTACTACTACTACTACTACTACTACTACTACTACTACTACTGTGTTGTTATCATATGAGTTGGTGTTGGTTATTTTACCTGACTGCTAAGAAAGCATAAATGCTTGTTAGTAAGCAACTAGACGGCCGACGGCTTTAGGTCATCTCCGAGGGTTCTGGTAATGAGGATTAATGCCTTACCCAAAGGTACTAGCGCATCGACTTGGCTTCGAACCCGGGTCCCCGGATTACGAGACCACTGCTCTACCGACTGAGCTATCGCGTCTCTAGCTCCTACGTCTACATCTACTACTACTACTACTACTACTACTGGCACTAATACTTCTACTAATAACAATGATAATGATTATAATAATAACTCTAATGTAAGTATCCATATAGGCCTGGTCGCGGTATGTTCGTGGTGGAACTAAACTGTGTGACACAAGAAACAGTTTTGCATACCGTCGTCCATTATTTGCATATTGTTCACCATTATATTGGTTGCAGAGTTGTCACATTTGTCCAGACTCCATGACTATCGCACAACAAATGTTCAAACTATTCAATTTTGTCGGAGGGTTGCCCCAGGAGGTATGCAAAGGTATACAAAGGTATGCAAACTGGCTTCCCACTTTCACTAATCATGAAACAAATGACTACGGTTTGTATTCAGTTAGGTTGGTAAGCACCAGGAAAATTAGTTGAGTAAAATCAAACATAAAATGGTGTAGTTGTTAGCGAGTATCACATTGGATGAACAATGTGTCACGTGACACTAAACAAAAGTATTCAATGCACTAGCGTGCAATAAAACAAATTTTGTTTTGTGTGAGTGTGTGTGTGTGTGTGTGCACGGGAAAATGCGTACACAATTGAATAGGAATACCTCTTTTCCCTGCGCGTATCCCTTCTTCGTATTGTCTTATCTGCGCGCAACTGACGCGAATGCGACCTGATTTTAATCGAGAGGGCATCAGTCCAAATTATCGCAAATACCCTCAACTTTATATTACAAATATTGCACGCAACTCGTTGCGTTTCAAAGCATGTACTTACCTCTAAATTTAGAATTCCCTTCGTGCTACTATATTCAACATCGACATGGGCCTCGATGAAATACTGAATTGAATTAAATTGAATTTATTTTCTTCTGCGAAATAGAAATAAAATTACATTTTAGTGGTACAGCATTATACAAAAAATGTCTAACTTTTGAACGCGTACACAATATAATAATTTAAATAAATGTTGACATCAACAACATTACATCACTCGTAAAATTCTGAATGTGTCGGTTCATATAATTTTGTTAAACACCGAAGCACGCAATATTTGTAAGATGTTATATGATTATGATTTTACAACACCATACACATAAGTCATGCAGACCTACAGTTAACTGGAATAGAAAAATGCATGAGCAAGCAGAAATATTCCAGTGAACATAGTTTAACCAGCGGGGGTGCTTGTATATATGACCCCAGGCTAGTCTCCGCTACAGCACACGTCTCCAATATCAAAATAAACACAGACCTAGAATGTCATACACTTGATCGAGAAAGCTCGTCTTAGAAAAATGTCAAAAGTCTGAATGAAGGCAAAATTTGTGCAAAAGACTTGTATGACATAACTATAGCATCCGAACGCCTGTTAGGTTCTATGATTATGTTCCTGCGACGATCGTACCGCAGTCAATTTCATAGATTAAGCGAATTTCTATCTTCAGGTATGTGCCATACCTTACCCCTAACCGTAAATGTTACTTTAACTCTAACCCTAATCCTAACCCTAATCCTAACCCTAACTCTAACTCTACACTAACCCGACCCTACCCTAACCCTTACTAGAAATTAAAAATGCAAATTTAAACCTTTACTCTATAATTTTCAAGAAAAAAACCCGAAAGCAATCGTCAACGGAGGAAATTCCGGGTCACTTTTCTCGTGAAGTATAAAGAGGAGATTTCTGAAAACTCGAAGATCAATTGTTGGAGATACTACCTTTTGCTAAGGAATCTGATACAGTGCCTTGCGTTGCTCCAGAAGTGTCTTTCAAAACCAATTTAGCGAACAGAATCGCACCTGTAAATACAGTGTCATCAAATGTCCATGCAACGTGTTCGAAAGATGTTGTACGAATCTTCTAAAGGAACTGTTTTGCTCGCTGCATATTATAAGGGGTGTTTATGAGATTAATGTTGCGTTGTGAATACGACCTGATATGTTGTGGAGGTGACGTCACTAAATTACATGTTTACGTAATCACAGGATTAAGATAGAATGGAAGAAAGAGCCGTGGAGAGAATTATCATTTAAACAGATAAATCCGCTTTCCAAATTCTGAATTTAGATAAATGACGAGTCAACTTATCGCGCATTAAACATTGCACTGAGTACCTTCCAAGTATGCCTAAAAACGAAAGAAAATAATGTTCATTCATCATATTTGACCATTTTTTTTAATCGTTAAAAGGCATTTATCATTTGTGAAAGGTAAGAAGGTGGTTTTATTTTGGTTTGTTATGTTCATTTTCGTACCAGTGATGAACAAGATTTCCTTCTCTTCTCTTCCTTTTTGTTATAAAATATTTCAGATCACAAGTTGTACATTCATTATACGTTTTCTTTCCTTCAATAATTTAATCTTCAAACCAGTTTGATTTTTGTCTTCGTCTTTTGGTTTCTTCTCCTCCAGGTGCAGCTTGAGACGCGGGATCGTCTTCATATCTATTTGTACATTATTTAGGATAAATCACATAAAAGCACGTAAGTAATTCAGAAGAATAAGAATACATATCTTCATTCATTTGACATGTTAACTGTTAAATACATTTAGTACATGAGAATCAAACTTTATGATGTCGAAACTATACAAACAAAAAGCCATGTTACATTATTGATTTTAATATGAGTCACCTAAAAGGCGTTAAAGATTCAACTTTGCTTTATTTCAGAAGTCTCTAAATACGTTATGTTTTATGTATATACAAATATTCTATCGCTCCATTTTTACAGAGATTATTAGACAATTATTAATATTTCAATATAGCACTACCATTTTGAAGATACACTGTTGGTCATAATGATGGAATAATTATCTTTACCCCCAATTTATCCCCTAGTTGATAAGCATAGTAGCATACACATGCTTTAGCAGTCATGCTTTAGCAGTCACGCAAAACACACGTTGGTAAATTATTATTAAATCAAATCTGAGAATGTATACTATTATCTAGATCTATTAGGAAGAAATCATTGTCAAAATCTTTCCATAAATTGGGGTAAAAATAATTATTCCACCATTATGACCAACAGTGTAATTGGACAAGAGGAAATGTGTGCATATTTTTGTCTAATTATTTACGAGAAATCTGAATAAATACCGCTGTGGTGTGAAAACTTTTGCCATACGCACGAGTAGACTCCTTTGTCATAGGTGAAATGATTTTGAATAATACAAAATCATCGAAATCAAAGTACAACCGAAAGACCTTATGTATCATCGGACAATCTATTGACATGATTGATTTAATTATTTGCTTTATTTACCTTGTTTCTCCTTCACAGAATTAACAGAAACTGTAGAGTGCCCTGGAGACATACGATTAGAAGAAAATGACTTACCTGGTAAGTAAAAACGGTACAAGATGTACCTCTAAAAATACAGCTAGTACGCAATTATTGGTTTTACTTCAGATCTCTGTTGTTAGATCCTTTCTTCCGAAAAATCTGTTATTCCTAGCTAGTCACACCAACGAGACCGATACCAGACCGGCAAGAGACCGATCTCATACCTCAGTCACACCGCCAAACCGACTCCAAACCGACTCCAGACCGACTCCAGACCGACTCCAGACCGACTCTGAACCGACTTTTCTTTTTCGCCGTAGGGGTAATGTTATGTTTCGGTCGATCTGTTGTCTGTCTGGATAATAAAATAATAAATAATAAAAATAAGTTACCTCGAATGGCCGAAAATCGGTCGGTTTTAAGTCGGTGTTGAGTCAGTTTGGAGTCGTGACTGAGGTACGGGGGTATGTGAAGAAACCCAGTTGGGTCTCAAAGATCACGTAATTTACACCTTCACAACGAAGGCGAACCCCGGTCACCCGTGTTTCCAACTGAGCTCGGTTTAGGGTCGATGCTAATTTGTATGAATTACTGAGTGTTTGCCCCATGCTGGTTCGAGTTTAGTTCCCCATTCACTGTATAAGATCCTTACTAAGATGACTGTAAAGGATGTGTCAAATGTGCCAACATTTTCATTGATATAATTGCAAGTATTTGACATTGTACAATTATTTAGATAATGCAAGGGCATGTGGAAAATAAACTTTACGAAGTTTTGAAGGCAACTCCTTTTTTTCATTATATAGTCTCTTTTTTTGGGGGGGGGGAGGGGGGGGGGTGTCAAAATTAGCAATTTAATATGAGGGTATTTTGTGAGAAAAGAGTCAAAACATTTGAAAATCTGATGGACTGTTTTCTTGTATTTGTTTGTCTATTGTCTGTTGTTATTATCACAATTGTGGGGTGCGGTGAGGTACCTCTCCGTCTAGCTTATGTGGAAATTAGGTACGACCCCTCCCATTTAAAATGGACCCGCGTCGCACCTGAAATCATACGTTTTGTTTCCACAGGCTGGGATATTATCCGTATGTTTGAGTTGGACTCGGCTACTATTCAAGGGGTGAGAGTGGTAACAGGATCAGACGATGTGCAGAGAGCGTATAGACTCCTCAAGAACCATGACATTTCAGAACCCGCCAGGTAAGAATGGTGTAGTCCATTAAACTGGCATATTATAGGGGGCACAAATTAATGGTATAAAATGTGCAACCTCCCCCTCTTCATATTCATAATATTTAGACCCAAAAGGCATCTAAAATGTGAAATGTAAAATATTCTTGTTCTAGTCATAAACTTTTCCTATTTGTTATCAATTGTTTTTATGATATTGTTCTTGCTATTAAATTTATCTGAGTTCTAGGGCAATAGTAATAATCACAGCAACATTTTTATAGCCCTTAATATTGTAACGTTCTGCAGCGCTTCTCATTGTAATTATGTTAATAGCAATATTGGCTGATTACATTGTACGGAGAAAAGATGAAGCCATCGTTGTCCTTAGTGCGGAAAGTGAGAGATAGTTTAACAAATTAAAAAATTAAATTTAAAAAAAAATAAAAAATCATCCACAAAATGTTCTTTGCTTATTATCCTTTTGTTTTAATTGTTTTCATTCTCTGTATAGTAATCAGTTTCCCCAAGGTCTCCCAGACGAGTTTTCTTTCGTATCGACCTTCAAGCTGACGGATCGTACAGGAGATGATGAAGACTGGTGGTTATGGTTGATCCGTGACAGAGCAGGCACTCCTCAAATTGGCATCAGATTGATGGGAGAGGAGAAAGCACTTCAGTTCATCTATGTAAATGAGCTTGGTCAGCTGGAGAATGTTCGTTTCGAGTAGGTGTCAAACGTCAAACGTAGTGTATCAGTAGGCCATTTTAACTCTATGATCCTGCCACAAGTCATGCAGGGCTAATCCCCATTGTGCCAAGCCACAAATCCCCCCCAGTGCCAAGTTTATAACGAGATGATCGGATTACGCGCGATGGTACTATCAATAGCGCGTGCAAAACACTAGGTACAGTCCAATGGGCATGAACATTAACTGCTATTACGAATGCGTCCAAACATGCAAGAAGCAGAGAAGCAGTAGCTTGCTCGCGTGTACAAAGCACTTTAACAATAGCGTGCATGCAGCCTTATGGCAGGCTATGAGTTAATGTGACCAAATTTATGCATAAACCCTTGTGAAGCGCCTCGATACAAATTCTTTGATTGACCTGTTACGAATAAAAGTATCTCAATAGTCAGAATTCAGTTGCATACATCAGATTGTTGCTAGGTAGGACAAACATAATGAATTGCTCTATTTAAAAACACGTTATATATGCAATTTTCATTCTGAATATTAAAATACGTATACCTTTTTTTTTTTTTTAGCAGAATGAGATCACTGAACCTTTGGAATGACTTTGGACAATCGTAGAGCTCTTTTTTTTCTCGAGTGTATATAAATATTGTTGAAAAGAGATAAGTGAAAGTTTGAATAGAGGCTCTACATTATCAATAGCTTTACAGTTCTCAGAGGAGACTTTCCAGTATTTAGCTGAACTACATAGTCCATAAATATATGTGGTTTTAATGCTAAATTACTTTAACGTCAAATACATAGCCGATACTTATTCAATGTTAAATTTTAAAAATTAATCAAATGTGCGGATGCTGCATCTGTTTTTCTTCTAACTTGTATTATGATAGAAAGAAATCAACCCATACCGTTACAGTCACACTATTTCACGATGTTTTCTTTCTCCTTATCCAACTATTTCACTCGACAGCAACGCGATGATGCTGTTTGATAGGAACTGGCATAAACTGCACATGGCTGTGAGTAAGAACCGTTTGGATCTCTTCGTAGACTGTCTCTCCATTGGATCAGTGGCCTTAAGGACCAGAGGTCAGGTCGATACCCTCGGAGAGACTCTTATTGGAAGGAAGTTCAGCGCTGGAGGAGGACCTGTCCAGGTACTATTATTGTCTAGATTTTAAATCGGAAGGGAGAGGGGAGGGGACAGGGGAGGGGACAGGGGGGGGGGGGGGGGCTGGTGATGGGTGGGTGTAGGCAGGGACTCGTTATTACGAAAGTTACTTTTTCTTTAATAAGGTTCATCTTTTAGGAAATGGAGTAGAGTTTTATTTTATTCTGGTAATGTTTATCCTTAAAGCCCAACTGCAGTACGAATAGCTACTCGCGCCCTATATAAACAAACAATACCTAATCGGTGACCATTGGTCCCTAATAATGCATGATCCCCTTTTTCTTATCTTAAATGAGATCTGATTTGATGAGATATCCATATGTCAGTGACAAAGCTGGAAGGTTTAATCCCTCCTGGCCAAAGTAGTGCAATATGGCTTTAAAGGCAGGTTGTTTTACCAACATCGCTACCCTCTTGTAATATAATTTAGAGTGGGCTATCTTTCGGTGAAGGCGTATTTCCGGCTCCTGTACCCATTTATCTTGACGTGTGCGTAACCAGTTGGTGATGCCTTGATGGACGTGGTTTGTCGACACATCGGGACATTTTGAGCAGCAGATGGCAGTATCCGTAATAATGAAGTAGTGTCAGTAAAGATAATACCTCGCCTATAAAAAAAAATATGAACCGTATATCAATATCGGAATTAGAAAACCTATTTCATTTTAGGTGTTATGAATCTTATTTCACTTTCTGAATTACAAATTTTCTGAAATACGTACCTTCACAAACCTTCGGCATGTCAGGGAACCTCGGAAATATGAAACCTTCAGACTAATTGAACCTTTAAGTTAACGCCACATCGGAAACTTTGAACCGTCGGGGTAGGGGGGGGCGGGACGAAAATATTTATTCCAATATGTGGCTACGGGGCAGCAGGGAAAGAAGGGCTAAATATAGAGTAAGAGGAAGGAGAATAGGGGCAATGGGAACAGAAAGTACGTGACCTTGTTCTCTCAAAAAAATTATTCTCCGTGGACCCCCCCCCCCCCTTTATGGCAATACAATAATCCTTTTATCCGTTTTTTCCCCTTCTTTTTTCCAGTTCATCCTTCAGTGGATGATCATCCATTGTGACCGAACCTTCCCAACCCGTGATCATTGCTCTGAAATATCGGTGAGATTCTAATAAACCTAATTGTCACAATCATAGAAACAAAGACAACGAAAACAAACAAACAAACAAGAATTTCGAAAAAAATAATATGACAGAATAAGAACACTTTATCTAATTGTGCCCATTTAGTAGACTTTAAAAGGTCATGTTTATTTGTAAAATTTGTAGGAAGCATGGGGACTTGCGATTGATCACACAATAAGACAATATAATCTGAGTCTCCAAAATTACTTTTCGCATTTTATTTCTCGTAGAATCATATTTTCCTCAATGAATTTGAAATCGACTGCGCATTTTCAGAGAAATTTATCGATTTGATAAGAATGGAAATTTCATTTCTTGTCATTTAATTGTTCTTTTTTCATTTTCCCTAGATATCTGAAGCGACAGAAGAGGTAGGTTTATTTCGTTTGTCAGATTTATCATATTTAAATTATATATTCACTTTTAATCGTCTTAACACGTTTATGCAGTGTACATTTCTAGAAATACAGTTTTGTTAGTCTCATTTGTTATAATGCATTTCTTCAATGCTTTTGCCTACTTTCTAAACTTGATTTTCTTTCCTCATTTGTTTTATTTTTCGAATCCCATTTTCATGATTTAGCCCAAAACCTGCTCGACGATCTGCCCAGAAGGCCCTGCAGGCAGACAGGGTGATCCGGTATGTACATGTTTTTGTATTCTTTATAAATTAATGGCACATACGTTATTGTAAAGGGTGTGTTAACCATTTGACTGAGCATGAGCATTGTCATCAATGCATTATTGTCCGGAAAGGGTGTTTCTCTATTAATTGTATACAAATACTACATTGTGTTTTTTCCACTGTTGTTACAGCCACCTGATCTTAGTCGGACATTAATATTGTCGACACCATTTTTCTCAACAATATTTTCTGTTATTAAACAGACAACATTTTCTTTCTTCATAGTCTAAGAATCTGAGAAATTGAAACTTTCTAGTCAAAATTATCATGGCTAACTGCTCTCGAAGACAAATTCATGTTTGAAACTATTTTTTTCCTCTGTTTTATTCTGAAACATTTCGTAAGCAGAGACATACATTTTTTCTCTCTTTGTACTATAATGACACTTTGTTATTCGTCCATGATTGCAGGGTTTACCAGGACCTGCAGGTCAGATGGGGCGACCAGGAATACCGGGACGGATAGGATCGACCGGTACGAAGGGTGAGAAAGGAAGCGAAGGATACAGGGTAAGGGTGGCATTCGGTTTCATACTATACATCTTTTAGAAGTAATGTTACGTAGAAGAGGATTGGAAGTTTTGACAGTAACATGAGATGTAGAGGGGAAGAAGAGTGGATGAGAAGAGCACGTTTGGTGAACATACGTGGAAGATGTTGAAATGGGAGAGAAAGATTAATCATCATATATTCTTATCATATTTTTTTATATTTGTGACAATTTAGATTTAAAAACAATGAATTTATATTCAAAAGAAAACCAGAGCCGGAGGGTTTATGATGCGTACTTGTCACAATGACAGCTCAAATCAACGATCATATCAACGTTCAGCAGGTAATACAATAATATTGTGCATGTTTCGTTGTTTTCTTTTTTTCTACAGGGACAACCAGGCCCTATAGGTCCAGTGGGAAACCCCGGCCCAAGGGTAAGCTCGTCGATCGGAGAAACGTCGTTGTGAACCTCATATTCATTCAGAAAATTTAGGAGACCGATCTGATCATCTGTTCTATAGATATGATTTAAAACCGGCCAGATTCTGGACTATCCGTCCCAATTACCTCAGATTTCACAAGCTGTTAGCTTTTTAATTAAACTTAAGGCAGCTGATGATTTGTTAAGATTCGTGGCTAAACATCATTTTGATATATTATTGATTGGGCAGGTAACAGTAAAGTTGTTTAGATTCGAGCTGACGTAACAATAACTGATTTGTAAAAAAATATGTTACTATAATGATAATCTTAGCTATATACTTGCGCCCTCTATATAGCAAACAATGGCTAAGCGGTGCCTGTTGGTCCCCCATAGTCCCTTTTTTTCTTATGTTATTTGAGAGCTGATTTGATGAGATAACAACCTGCCAGTGACTATGCAGGGAGGTCTAATCCCTCCTGGCCAAACTAGTGCAGAAAGGCTTAAAATGAAGATCGCACATTTGAAATCATTGTGTGTTGCCCACAACAATATACAAAATAAAATTCTGAGTAATGGGGGCGTTCTCTTAGAAGCTACCCCATCCAAACAATACGATACCACAAACTTAATGAATAATGTCAATTTAAAACACAATCTAGCCCCTTCAAAGAAAGAGGATAAGTAGCAGCTGAAATAGAAGATGGACATCTAAGATTCGAGCTTTTATGATACTCTCATGTTCTCTCTCTCTCATCAGGGATCTCCCGGACCAGGTGGACTCAATGGTGACCCAGGAAGAGCAGGACTTAAAGGAGAAATGGTAACACCCCCTCCCCCCTGGGGAAAATATATATATGATAGAAATTCATGAAGTATTACAATTAAAACTAAGTTCCCATATTCATCATATCTGTATGTTTAGTGCTACTTGAAGATAATTATGACGGACGGATTATAAAGAACACGTTCCCGAATAAGTCAAGGAAAATTCCCTTACTCATTTGGTTGGTAATTTCGTGATTACCTTCCATGAATACCTATTATGTTCGAATGCCTCTGGATGTACTTAAATTCTTCCCAGTATAAGAACGTTCCTCCACCTCATGGCAGAAATTTGTGAACTGTCCATAGGATATTACTGCTCTATATTTGAATTAGACCGAATTTTCCGTCTCTTTCGTTCGTTAGCCTCTTATTGGGGTAGGGTCGGCCGGCTCTCTCTTTAGAGACGGAAACCGTCTATACACATTCCCTTGATAACGCCACGGCCATTTCAGGTCGTAGCGTTTTGCCCCCAAAATCCCCCAAAATGTCATTTTACCTCGTGCATGTTATATTGTAAATTAGGCCTAGGCTATAATAAATCAGTTCCATTTACCAACTTGACTGAAATAATCAGTTTAATAGTCCCTTTTAGGAATTTATGGGTCAAAATCGAAATCCATGTTGAAAAAGATTTTCAAAATGGATTTCGATTTTGACCCATAATTTCCTAAAAAGGGACTATTAAACTGATTATTTCAGTCAAGTTGTTAAGTGGAACCGATGTATTATAGCCTAGGCCTAATTTACATGTGGATATGCACGAGGTAAAATGACATTTTGGGGGATTTTGGGGGCAAAACGCTACGACCTGAAATGGCCGTGGCGTTATCAAGGGAATGTGTATAGACGGTTTCCGTCTCTAAAGAGAGAGCCGACCCTACCCCAATAAGAGGCTAACGAACGAAAGAGACGGAAAATTCGGTCTATATTTGAATACGAAGGAAAATTGTTAACTTTTAGTGACGTTAACATTCAATTGGTCATCTTTTTTATGCGACTTCCATTGGGGACTTTGGAGGAGTTCAATGATTATATTTTCCGCATGTACATTTATTTAGTAAAGTTTACAATATACTATCATTTTCGCCAATTCATTTTGCGAATCTTTCTCTTAATGATGGAAATCGCTAACGCGTCATCTCGGATCTATTAATCAAATGTTATCATCGCGATGGTCACATGTTTCCCCCTTTACTCTTCCAGGGTTCCAATGGCCTACCCGGTCTTCCAGGAGTGCCTGGTGATCAGGTAAGCTTTCAAGTTTGAGAATAATCTTCCTCTTTTTTAGTTTGTCATGCTTTTATAATTATATTCGATTTCCAATAACAGAAAGAAGTCTTTCAAGTGATATAATATTTATTGCATTGTCAAACATCCATATAACTACCACCGAGTAAAAGGAAAAACAGTACAGATAGTTGTAATGAACAAGTTCATGTGATCGGTACCATATCCCTGATTTGATGAAGATTTTAAGAAGCATAATTTTAGGAATGGTCTTTCTATATTAGTGATCGCTAAATCAGGATTTTGAGACCAATATTGGTTTGAAAATTAAAACGTCAATGTTTCTTCTATTCTAATTTTTTGTAGAAATTTAGTTTCTCCGTGTCCATGGTAACGGCTTTGGAATAACGCCATTCACACTAGAGATAAGACATTTAATCATTGTCCCTAAAAGGACCAGTATTTCGTATATTGCACTCTTTTTTCCTGTCCTAAATTTCGTAGGTTTTCAGACCATTGCACTTTTGGCATATTGTCACACTTTATCGAACAAAAATATCGAAGTTTGATTCTTAAAGAATAATGATAATAACGACATATTGATATGAGAACGCCCTCTACACGTACTTCGATATTTCTATTCCAGACCTTTTTATTTCATTGAGTTTGCGATGTTTTATCCAATCACGTCTCTCTATCAGGGACCACGTGGTTATACTGGCCAACAGGGGGATCAAGGACGACCTGGGGACACGCCCACACGAGAGGTAAGAGGGTGATGTCATAGGTTTGGTGGGTGTGGTCAAGAGATACCTTGGTAATTTGAAGATTGTAGGTTCGAATTGTTGATGGATAGACGGTATATCGGTGTTTCATATTATAACAGAGACGAACATTCGATGAAATTGGAAGATATATTTCGCTGAGAGATGAAAGAATATGACCTTTCTTTATTGACGAAAAATTATTTGGTTCATATTGTTAAATAAATGACTTTTCTCCTTTTCTCGCTCTATCAATTCTCATTTTTTCGCCTCTCTCTCTCTCTCTCTCTCTCTCTCTCTCTGTCTATACGTATCCCGCTTTCTGTCTGTCTGTCTATGTCCGCATGTCTCTCCCTTTCTCCTTTCCTCTCTGTCGTATTCGTGTTAATATCTCTTTCTCGTTCGAACCTATCACTTTATCTATCTTTCTTTCTATCTTGTCCAAACAGCAACTGATCGACATCGTCGTCAGCATTCCGGGACTGCAAGGCGACCCCGGTCAGCGTGGGTTACCAGGCATTGACGGTGTCAAGGTAAACATTCATTCATTCCTTCATTCATTCATTCATTCATCCAGACGTCCAGTCTTCCAGTGAAGCCTTCAAACATTGCATTAATCATTCAATCAACCATGTATGTTTTCGTGTATTCATTCATGTTTGCATTCATTCACTCATTCATTCATTCATGCATTCATTCATTCATTCATTCATTCTTTTTTGTATTAATTCATGCATTCATTCATTCATTCATTCATTCATTCATTCATTCTTTTTTGTATTAATTCATGCATTCCTTCAATCATTCATTAATTCATGTATTCATTCATGCATTCATGAATTCATGCATTCATTAATTCATTAATATATTTATTCTTGTATTTTTTTATGCATGCATTCATTCATTCGTTCTTTCTTTCATTCATGCACTCATTAGTCAATTTATACATCCAATCATTCATCATTGTATTTATTCACTGATACATGCATTCACTCATTCCTTCGTTCATTAATTCATGCACTCATTGTATTCTTTCACTGATACATGTATTTATTCATTAGTTCGCTGATCATTGAATGCATATATCCTTTCATGCATCCATACATTCATCCAAACACCCATTCAAAAGGGTTTATTTAAAACCAAAGTAGCAGCCACTATGTCGATATTTTTGTATGTATTTTACGCCAAGAAAAAGTACTCACAAGTCAAATTTGTACAGCAACTCAGTATATATCGAAGATGAGTTGCTTAATCAACGAGCAATTCAATCAATGAATTCATTCGATTTACAAATAGGTTATTAAATATACGGTAGAGATGCAACGAGATTACGTCAACATAATTTATAAGCAATGTACCAAAACGTTTTCGTTCTAGGAAAACCTTGATTTATCCTCCTTTGTATCATATATTTCAGTATCTTTGTACTTGTTATCTATTTGTTGACAGGGAGAGAAAGGCACGCGAGGAGAATACGGCTACAGAGGAGTTGAGGGACCAAAGGTATGTTTTTCAAACATTTTGGTTTGCAATTTATTTTCAGTGATAAAACAACTTTGCTTGCTTTTCGCGAAACACAAGTTTGAAAACAAAGATTTGAGCCGTTGGGTAGACTATTAAAAGGTCACCAAGTTCTGTATAATATAATTAATAACACTATCAAAGTTATCGTGTAACTTATTTTTATTTTAACTCGACAGGTACTGGTAAGATTGAAAACAAAGTACAGAGGGATATGACATTTAAATTTTTAATTTCACTTCCTTAACTCTATTAATACACATCTCTTTATTTAGGTTTATATTTATATTTATATTATGAAAGTTTCAAAATGTTGATAGCAGTGTCTCCCATATTATCCACTGCCTAGACTGTTTCCTTGTTGCGCGCCCAATTAGCTGGGAAAATGACACATCCTCAACGGTGAACCGGAGACAGTCCTAGTACCCTCGTTGTTGTTGTTGTTGTGACGGGTGTATTCACGGGGGTCGCGAGTCTGTAGGATTCGTGTAAGGGAGGAGAACATAGATGATTGAAGATCTTTAAAACAAAATATAGAAACGGACAAAATCTCGACTATGTATACGATTACAAATTCAATGATTCAATATAATGAACACAGAGTGAAATAGAATATTATTAAACTTTATATGAGAGCCTACCCTAATTGTTTCAAACATTACACATGAAGGTTTTGAACCCCATTTGTGCAATTTATTCAAACCGATTAACAAACTATTTTTACTTATTTAATGATCTATTTTCATTTATTTTTTTATTAATTAATTCATTTATTTATTCATTTATTTGTCTATTCATCTATCTATTCGTTTATGCATTCTTGTATTTTTTAATTTAATTATTCATATATTTATTTATTCATTCATTAATTCATTTATTTATTAATTTAATTTTTTGCAGGGTATTCGAGGCGAGACGGGACTAAGGGGTAACCTAGGCGAGCCCGGTCCACCCGGTCCACCTGGAACACTGGTACGTATTTCTCAAAATTAATTTATCATCTTCAAGTTATTGCAAATACAAGTTTCATCGTGTGTGAATCTCTAGTTGAAATTTCGTGGAAATATAAAAAGGAAATATATCAATATTCTCTTAAGATTAATTTTTCGCAAAATGATATGTACTACTTAATGCAATTAAACGTCTCATCGTGAAAAAATCTTTATTTCAAATTTATTAGAAATCAAAAGGAATTAAATTCATTTTCTCTCAAGATTATTTTGTCGTAAATAATAATAATAATAATATTGAATTTTTATATAGCACTTAATACAAATGTCTCTAAGCGCTTTACAAATATACTACGTTATGCTATTATCGTCGTGTATCCCAACGTGAAATTTAGTGACAGTAAAAAGGAACAAATTCCCTTTCCCAATTATCAGCAAAATCGACGTTATTTACGAGCTTTTTTGTTTTAATCCAGGAGGGAAGATACATGTATCGTTGCTCAATTATATCATTTATTATGTAGTGGGGCCATTTGAGATCACATTCTAAAGATCAAGCTTTATATATGTTCGCCTTGCAGACAACAAAACACTTCTACTTATAGATAGAATATAAGATGAATGGACATAACACGTTACGTATTTATAGATTTTGATTTGCTTGTTTAACAAATCTTCTTTTTGTCGAGTTTGTTTTAATGTCACTATTCCATTTCGAATCATATAAAACCTTAAACATAATATTTTGTGTTTTGCGAAACTTTCATTATACTATTAGCTTATATGTATAGGTCAATAACCTGATCATGGTTTTGCGTTCGAGTTACGTCATTATCCATTTCGTAGTCAGACTCTTCGAAATTAATTTTGTTTTGTTTTTGCATAAATTGGCCTTAAAAAAGTCTTTATCAAGTAAGCCATGACTACTCACTTAAAAAGACTTTAATATATTTGACTTCTGAATGTTTTGCTTTTTCTTAGGGCGATATCAGCATAATGGAAATCGTCGGCGGCGGAGAGACTCAGCTTATTCCAGTACGCATTTTCTACAATACGCTTTTTATGTGTCAAGGAGCAACATAATCATTCTAAGTTTTAAATGATGCAAATTTCGAAAACTTGACTGTCTTATTTCTTCGATTTTTTTGTTTAGATCTCTACCTCTAATAATACGCAGGTCACACAGGTAATGGTCAAATATTTCCAAGTTTCCAAAAAATCCTTTTCCCCATAGAAGTTAGACACATTCACCATAGCGAATTGAGAGATATAGTTGTGACACCTGAATGCATACGCGATCATAGGACAAGTCAAGGATTTATTCAATCATGGAACTCCGAATGTGTCCTCTATTGGAGGTAGCTTTCTTAGACTTCATGAAATAACTGACCAATCGGAAACAACTACCGGTGGCGTAACTGTCTCTCTCAATACGCTCTGATCATCGCAAGAGTGCGCCCTCCCTATACTACACTAGTGTATCATCATCCATCACTGTCATCACCTAACGAAGTCCACTTTGAGTTTTAAAATCCATAGTTTGATAGAAGTTAGACAATCATTTTCTTCATAGCTAGCTTGCCCCCCCCCCCCCTCCCCCCCCCCCCCCCCCCCCCCCCCCACCTTAGCAAATCACCACATCCCCTGACCAACCAGATTTAGCCACCGGTGGTCACAAATCTAGAGGTTTAGACACTTTAGAAGAAAAAACGTGCCTACCCTATCCCGCCTTATTCCGCAATAAAACATTCATATGCGGTTTTTTTTTTTAACCTGTTTAACAGAATTTTTGATAGATAGTTTCCTTAACCTTTTTAAATAATACCATGTATAGTCTACTCTCCATGCATGCATCTTTTGCAGTTGACAATGACGTCCAATTACACAAAGCATAATACGGACTTTTAGATTTTGCACGACGAGAACGTGGACTGCCCTTTTAAGACAATGTGACGTCACTGCCAGTGCCTTAAAAGGACGTCACATTGCCTTAAAAGGGCAGTCCACGTTCTCGTCGTGCAGAATCTAAAAGTCCCTAATACCTACGCCACACCAACGAGACCGACACAAGACCAACAACTGACCGAAAAAAACATTTACATTATCCCCGATGGCAAGAAAACCAGTCGGTTTGGAATCAGTCTTAAATAAGATTGGCGGTGTGACTGAGATATTAGTGCTTGTTAGTAGATCTTCTAGTTTGAATATAGGCGTAGATAATCTTTGAATTAGAGTTGACTTCCCAAGTCATTTCATGCGATCATAATCATTGAACAAACCATTGCGTTTTCAAATCCTATTTTAACTGGAGTTATATACTTTCCTTAAAGTGTGCCCTTAAACCATACCATGTAGTCTATTTCTTCGTGCATGTGTCGTTTGCAGTTGTTAGAAATATCCATTTTAATACACCAAGCATTAGTGCCGAAGTATTTGTAATTTGAAAATAGATGAACATAGAGTAGATATTAGAATAGAGTGACCTCATTTTTCTTCCAAATTCATTTCACGCAATGAGTTATATATTTTGAGTTCAATCAGGTATAAGTTGTCATTTGTTTCCCTTCTTATCCATGCCCACAGTGCGATAATTATGTGTAATCATCATTTCATTCCCCTGTTTTATGGTTTTCATCAAACCCGACCCCACTCGTATACTCTTATCCTCCCTTGTATCTATCTTTCGTAAGAGTACAAATTTGGTAAAGGCTTTGTCTATATGTCTCACCATTTTCCCCCGAAGAAAAGTTCTTCCCAATCATCCCGTCACTTTTCAAACCAGGAATTTTTAAAACCGTAAAAAGAAAACGGGCTATCGTCTTAATGAATTAAAATGATTAATGAATGTCTAAATGTAATTGAAAGATTCACTTGAACCTTGAAATATTGCTTTTTTCAGTCATCATGTCCATTAATGTTTGATACTGTATTACTGAAATTGTGAACTCCAAACCAGTAGTGTTATGCCACGGCACTGCATGTCCACTTTGTGATAATAGATCACATTCTATCTGATTACTGTAGGAAGATCATCTGATTACTTTCATTATCTAACCAAAAGAGATGAACCACAGATAAACAATCCTATGGTTCAATAGTTTTATGTGGAAAGATGCAGCTTAAAGGGATCGTTTAACAATGTTAAATCTGAGATGCACGGCCCTACGTGTTATCAGTGTATGTGATATAGTGTTATGTTGAAGCCCTAAAAAAATTGCGCTTCAAAATGATCAAGAAGTGCCTCAAAAAAGTAAAAAAAAAAAACCTTTGAGTGACCGGTTTTACCATACTCGTTTTTTCCCAAAAGACTGTAGTGTTATGAAAACCGTTTGGCAAACGCAAAATCTGATTTCGATTTTCAATCATAAGTATCTTGATAATCAGACAAGCGATCGGCTTGTAAAAGTCAAGGGGTTCCTCACCGTTCCTGACTGACCTGAAGGTTAATAATTAACATTGCAGCATGAGCTAAATCAAGGATTTTTTTAAAAAGTTACCGGATCCCTTTAATTAACGTGTATTTTTGTTTAAAGAAAGTCAAGTGGAGTCAAACTGAGTTAATCCCACCGCACACTTCACGATATGACTACGATCCGAAGTATTTGCAATAGCACTTTGAGGAGGAATAGCTAAATCGGCTCAGAATCGTAGTGACGTCATACCGAGTCTACGATTTGAACCCGATTTGGCTCTTATTCTGACTAGAAGGCTTAAGTGCACCAACAATTTGGTTGTTAATATTCTTATCATTATTTAACACCTAAATCAGAAAGCCATGTTTTCTTATTTTTCTATAGCTAAAAATAAGTACACTTTCTTCAAAAATTATCTCGCAGGATCCAAGAACGTATAGTGTGCGTTTGGCTTTACAGAAAGTAGTCCCGCTCTCCGGGGAGTAATTACCTTATAGGGGTTAATGTACGGGTTATAAGAGGAGGGGGGTATTCGATATAATGTGCAAACATAACTGACTTGTATCCATTCATTTCATCTAGTTCTATATTTTTTCTTTTGTCTTGTAAACAATATTGTTTTATAAACAACAATTTGTTTACTGCAGGGACCAGCTGGATCCCCTGGCATACCCGGTATACCTGGAGACCCAGGAATACAGGTGAGGCACTAGAACTCTTACTCTCTCTCTCTCTCTCTCTCTCTCTCTCTCTCTCTCTTTCTCTTTCTTTCTTTCTCTCTCTCGCTAGCTCTTTCCCTTTTCTCTGTCTCTTTCTTTCTTCTCAATCTCTTTTTTTCTCTCTCTCTCTCTCCTCTCCCTCTAACTCGTTTCTTTATCTCTTTTCTTACTGTCTCTCTCTCTCTCTCTCTCTCTCTCTCTCTCTCTCTCTCTCTCTCATCCTTTCTCGTTCGCTCAATTCTACCTGGCTGTAATCATATTCATATCTCTGGTAGTCTGCATCTCTCACATGTTCTCTCTTTTTCCTCTTATCTCCCCCCCCCCCCCATGAGCCATGAGAGGGGGTGAAGTAGACGGATAAGAAGAGGTCGATATTAATAAAGAAAGGATGCAGAGAACTTTGTGGAAAGGGGAGAAGCAGCCTGGAGAGGGGAGTATAAGGGGGACTCAGGAAAAGGTAGAAGGAAGTAAAAACAAGGATAATTAAGACGAAGAGGAAAAGTAGAAAACGGAAATAAGAATGAAAAGATCTGGAAAATGCTCATTTTGTTTAATCTCATCTTATGATTGACTGCAGGGATTTCAAGGTGACCAAGGCGAGAGAGGAATAAAAGGACTTTCTGGCATTAAGGTAAGTAAGTAAGTAAGTTAGAGGTGCGATAGCTCAGTCGGTAGAGCAGTGGTCTCGTAATCCGGTGACCCGGGTTCGAAACCAAGACGATGCGTTAGTGCCCTTTAGTAAGGCATTAATCCTCATTATCAGGTCCTAAAAGTGATACAATGTGCTACTGAAATGGACTTTTACGTTTATTTCTTTTTAAGAAACGGCTTTGGCCGTACCTGAATTAGAGTGGATTCTTCATTAAAGCAGGCCTTTGTTCTCTCCTGGAGACGGCTTTTTTTGTACGAAGGAAACATACCCTTAAAAAAATAGAATTGGAGATGGTTTTTGCTATTTTAGAAAAATACTGCGTTATCCTATATAAAAGATTAACGAATTTCTCACTACCTCAGGCGGCTTAGACTCTTCAACCACATCGTTGTAAGTGCCGTATTGGTCAACTATCTTCAATCTGCTTTTTATGTTTTTTTTTATACTTTTCAAACTAAGAGTTTAGGTATTTCATGATAATTGTGATCAATCCAACTCCTTCATAATAGATTTTCGTCAGTTCATTTCAAATAAAATACTTCCCCAGTGCATTCAACATTATTATTAAGAATATAGAAAACCAATCATTTTTGTATCATGCTTTTTCGGGTTTTTGTTTTCGTAGGGTGAGAAAGGGTCAGGAGGATTGCGTGGCCCAAGAGGAGACACAGGATCTGCAGTAAGTACTAGTCGTTTCTGGGCAATCAAACCTTTTTATTTGTTCACATTTTTTCCTTCAAAATCAGGATAGTCCCTTTCAGAGGCGCAGAGGGCCTGATCCACTATGGAGCCTGACTTTGAACAAACACAATTTAAACAATAAAACATAAACATGATATTAACGACTTGTACATTACACGAAAACACATACATAAGATAGATGATACATACGAAGCTGCAATATGCAGCTCTGTTCTATCAGACGAATAGGAGAAGTGGGTTTGAGGGGGAAATAGTAAGTTTGAAATTTCTCTTTAAAGGGATCATTTAACAATATTAAATCTGAGATTCACGGCCCTACGTGTTATTAGTGTCTGTGATATGGTGTAATATTGAAGCCCTAAAAAAATCGCAGTTCAAAATGATCAAGAAGTGCCTCAAAAAAGAAAAAATGTTTGAGTGACCGGTTTTACCATACTTGTTTCCCCCAATAGACTGTAGTGTTATGAAAACCGTTCGGCGATTTGTAATTACAATCATAAATATCTTGATTATCAGACAGGTGATCGGCTTGTAAAAGTCATGGGGTTCCTGACTGACCTAAAGGTTTATAATTATCATTGCAGCGTGAGCTAAATCCATTATTTTTTTTTCAGAATCTGAGACAAAGTTACCGGATCCCTTTAATCTAGGTGCATCTCAAACTCATATAAATTGTTCATTCGACTATTCCATATATTTGTGTATTTTTTTATAACTCTTCCATTCCTTGTATCAAAAAAAGTATCAATACCTCAAGAAGTTCAGTTCCTCTCCGACGCACATATTACCTCCGTGCTATTAAGCTGTTCGTCTTTTTAATACAGCTTTTTAGTAGGCTAAAAGACAATTTTCTTTTGTTTAATTTCATTTCTTAATTTTCTTATTTCCTTACCAAGGGTGAGGCTGGACCCATGGGACCACCTGGACCACGAGGGGATAAAGGCAGTGCGGTAAGTGAAGTTCTCTTTTAATGGGACTTGGTAACATTGTTCAGATGAGAGAAAGTGGTGCTAAGGTAGTGAATTCAATGCTAAATGTACAATTACAGATAATCTGAAAGTTTGAGTGAAAACGGACCATTATTAATGATATAAATTGGGAAAAACTGATCTGATCGATTCCTAAATTCTCCCAACTATATTATTATAATTTAATTACATCTTAGGTGAATGTAAATCGTCACAAAGCGATGAATTGGCTCTTTATACCATTCCAGACATTTAAGTATTGACATATTTTTAAAAGCCTGTTTTATATCTTTTCACGAAAAAAACCGTTAGGAAAATTCAAAAATGGTTGGGAGAATTTACTGTTAATCACTGTTAGAGGGTGTTGCACAGTGACACCTTCACAGAAAACCATAAATATCTTTGTGGTTTGAGAATTCGTTCAGGATTTTGTGCATGTTAGAGGGTTAGTACAGTAGAAGAAATATAGTAATTAACATTTCATACGAAATTATGCAATTTTTTCGTCAACTTTCAACGATGTTACAGAGTCACTTGAAAGCTTAAATTACTTTTAAAAAGAGAAATCATAAAATTGTCTGTTCTGCAATGCAACCTACTTTCGTGGACATTTTTTTCTTCGTAAAATTTCACATGCTAGCCCTGAACTCCAGAAATGCAACATATGTGTTGTAATATAAGCAATGTTGTATTGTTAGGAATGGATTTTTAAAAAAAGAAATAGCAAAATTATCAGGGACAGATGCAGATTGTTGTTAAAAGACATTTGATGAGAAATTTCTGAGATATTTCTGAGAATTTTTTTAAATTAAAAAAAGTATGAAATAAACCCTTCAGGTTGCCAATGTAAAAAGTCAGAGGGCGCCTTCCTCCTTCGTGTAAAAAGTGCTATCCCCGGGTTACGGACATGGGCCCTGTTTCATAAAACTTGTCATCATTGATAAATTACAATAAGTGTTATACGCTACTGAAATTTTTAATCTTTTTTTGATAACAATTTTAATAAAATAGGGCCCAGGTGCATTATGTAGTATTCAAGTTGTGAGCTATACTACTATTGGCATGATGGAGTCAAACTTTTCCTTATCATGCTTTTTAGTCCTGTCATACTGATGTTTTTTATAACCCCCTGTTGCATTACTATAGGGACCCCAAGGTCCTCAGGGATTGTTTGGACCAGAGGGTGAACGAGGACCAGCTGGATTAGCAGGACCAAGAGGTGGTTCTGGACCACAAGGAGAATCAGGACCAAGGGTGAGTTCACAACAATTCTTCCAAACCATGAAATGAGAGATGGCATCCATCTTTTTTTCTTTTTTTTCGTAAGCATATGCACAGGGTGGATTTTCTTACAGTTAGATTGTTTAAGTCAAAACCTTTACGCGTGTCATTACAATATCTACTGTCTTAAAGATAAAGGTGAATTCTGGTCACCGGATTTCATTGTGAAAGAAAGGGTGTGGAATGGATCAGAACAAAAGTCGATCATGTAGCATGTAAGTGTCGGTGTGTACTGCAAAGATCTGGAGTCATGAAAATCATAATAGATTTGGCCCAGTCTTGGTAGAGTAACAAGCACTGCACCGTAAGATGTAAACGGCACTACATGAATGGTGTCGGGGCTAATAACCTTGATTTCCTAATCTTTCTATGCTAATTACTCAGCCAGTATACATTTTCTACAAAATTGTTTAACAAATGACATTTATTTGTAATCTTCAACATTCAGTGTAAGTTTCGTTTGATTCTGTGAGAATTCTTTTTTTTTAACCAGAACTCACCTTTATCTTTTACCCATGCAGTAGTGTGTGCGCGTGTGTGTGTGTGTGTGTGTGTGTGTGTGTGTGCGTGTGTGCTGGTGGATGTATGTGAGCGTGTCTGAGGATACAATACTAAGATCATTTTTAAGTTCGTTCTTAAATGAAATGAATCGAAGACAACAAATTTCTCGATGCATATTTGCTGTTGCTTCTTTTGAAATCGTTGCTTGTTTTCCCTTTAAACTTTTGTCATATTTGAAATGATATAATGGTAAATCAGTAGTAAATAGCGGTAGCATCTGATCGATCTTTCTTTTTCCTTCACAGGGTTATAAAGGCGCCACAGGAAGCCTCGGTTTCCCTGGGTTTAAGGGAGACAAGGTGAGTCTATTTTTCTTGTTTTTATTCGGTCTGCATATTAATGATAATTTTTAGTTCTGATATTAACTGACGGAAAATGAATTACCAACGAATAAAAATGAGTAAGAAGAAATGAAATGGTGTATGAAGTGAAAAGGAATGAAATGAATTGAAATGAAATAAAATAAAATGAATTGAAAAGAAATGAAATGAAATGAAATGGAATGGAATGAAATGAAATAAAGCAAAAAGAAATGAAATTAATGAAATGAAACGAAATGTCATTTAATGGAATTAAGCAAGATAAGTTGAAATTAAGTTAAATTTATAAAAAAAAGCGAAATGAAATGGAATGAAATGAACTATATGTTATTGTTTCCATCGTTGCAGGGAAGTTTCGGTGATCTGGGCTTACCAGGTCTAAGTGGACCTAAGGGAGAAAAAGGCGGCAAAGGTTCAAATGGTCTACGTGGAATAGCTGGAGTTCCAGGAACAAATGTAAGCTTACATATTCATAATAATAATAATAATAATAATAATAATAATAATAATAATCCGTTTTTTTATATATAGCGCTCAATACACAGATCCAACGATGTGCCTAAGCGCTTTACAGATATGTTATTACAACTTAACATGTTATAAGAAGCTATTAATCAATCACACAATCCATTTCTTATGTTGTGTACCTAGTAGTCTTTTTATTTCCATTTGTATGAAATTGCGGTTAAATCACTCTTACGACTGTGTAGGCATACCGAAGCATACATCTAACAACTTGAACGTGATCTTTAATACCATATTTGTATTTCATTATTATGGTGTTTGCATCGGAAGTGCACCAGGGGGCAATGCCTAAGGGTAATGCCCCCCCCCCCCCCCCCCGATTATAAGTTAAATAAAATAAAATGGGGAAAGGATCCGCTAAAAGAGGGGTCATCCAAGGAACTTGGTGGTCAAGGCCTTAACCCTACCCCTGTCCGAACCTCGTCCGTACCTCCACCCCCACCCCAGCCCTTCTTCAAAAATCCTGTCTATGCCAGTGGATTCAAGTCCTCTACATGATTCTTGTCTTAAAGCCCCACTACACTACTAGCTACTTGCGCCCTCTATATAGCAAAAAGGGCATAAGTGCCTGTTGGTCCCCCATGATCCTCTTTTTCTTATGCTATTTGAGAGCTGATTTGATGAGATAACCACTTGTCAGTGATCTTGCAGGGAGGTCTAATCCCTCTTTGGCAAACTAGTACAGACGGGCTTTAATTTGAGCTGTTCTTGCAACATTTCAGGGTAACCCTGGACCGATCGGAGACCAAGGAGAGCAGGGTGTCCAAGGTAATAAAGGCCAGCCTGGATTAAGAGGAGTCCGAGGAGAAAAGGGAGATGAGGTAAGTATGGTCCATCCTGGGGACACGTTGGTCGATTCGTACATGAAGACTAGTTCTATATAATTAGTTGCTCCAAGAGAAATTGAGAGAGATGAAACAAAAAATTTGTTCCTCCATATTTTTATTATTATGTATCTTTTGAGGGTAGTCATACTATCTAGCTTTGCTTACTTTGTCAACCCTCCTGTTTGATGTTTTCGATTAGTTACAGCCAGCCTTACTTTATTCTACATAATTTATATTATTTTGTCATGTGTACATTTGCAATGTTTGTTTGTTATATATTTGTTAAAATGCAAAAGAAAAAGAAAATCAAACATATAATCCTCATGAAAGAGAAATTTAATGTATGGATTTGATCCGTGGAATGTAATTGATTCTATGAGAATAATGATATTAAAAAAGATAACTTGATAAAGAATAACTACCAAAAAACTAGACACCAATTAGTTATACGACTTTGGTGAGATCTTGATTTTGGTATTAAATGGGTATAAATAAAGGTATACTGTGTTAATAAATGACTGAGTTATAAGAATGCAAAGTACATGGAAAGATTAGAAAGGGAAGGTGAAACGACGTAAATGCATGTTGATGTCTGTGTTATATTTGATACTGTGATCAGAATATAAAAGTGTGTATTTAAAGAACGTAATCATGAGATAAATATAACCCCTATTAATGAAATGATTTTGTATTTTGAATTGCAGGGTTTGCCAGGTCCCATGGGTTTGACAGGGCTGCGAGGTACTAAAGGAGACATAGGCAATACTGGCTACACAGGATTACCAGGAAAGGACGGTGATTCAGGCCCAAGGGTAAGTTCATTGACCGGTGTGGGGTATCTAAATATTCATAATTGAGGGGCGACATTCTTCCCAGACCCGCTGGGGGGGGGGGGGGGGGGTATGCACTAATCTTTACTGGTGAAGAGTTCGTGATGTAACTGGACAGGCCCCCTGTGATGTGTACACTTTGTCGGTTTGTTTTCTTCTTCTAAGACTTCGAGGGGGGCACGCAGTCTTTCGTATGCTGGATAGTTGATACGCCACTGACTGCTGCATATTAAACGAGGTGTCTTTTTTGAAAAGATCAAGTTTTTTTTTTTTTTTTTAAAGAGAAGGCAGTTTGGAATTTTTGCAGGGTACAATGGACATTAACATCTTCAAAGGAACAAGCAGGACATCGAAGAAGTATTGGTAGAAGAACAAATGTAATTTTGATTGTATAATATTCAGAGAAATAAGAAGATTTTTTTTTAAAGGGAGAGGAATGACAAATTTTAGAACTAGACTCAAAAGTAAAGTAGAGAGAAAAAGAAGAAATGTTCGACCTAAAGAGAAGGTCGAGTTCTGGGGAAACTGGAGTGGTGAACATTAATTTGTGAGCGTTATCATTGGTATTATGCAAGTATGGAAGAACATCAGAGAAATAAAAAAAAATGTCCTTTTAAAGGCACGGTTCTTAAAATGCCCCCATATTCTAAATATGACAAGTAACAGCTTACAAATAAGGTTGTGTAGTCCCATATAATAATTTCTGTGTACAGTGCATTACCAAGACTGGGCCAAATTTCTTATTATGTTGGTGACTCCAGAACCTTGCAGTACACACCAATTCTTATATGCTACATGATCAAAATTTTCTGATCGATTCACAGTGCAGTCGCATGACCAGAAGTCAACTTATTGAAAATATAAATATGATGGGAAACAATATAAATATAACATAGTGGCCTATACAAAAAAAATAATTAAGCGATTAGTTGAGAAAACATCATAAGATCTTTGTATTTTTGTGTTTGTCCACCACCATAGGGTCCCCAAGGACGGCAGGGAATCAAAGGTGCTCTCGGAGAGGACGGCGGTCGAGGTCCAGTTGGACTCATAGTAAGTTAGAATTTAAAAAAGTCATTATTAAATGAATAGGGAAGACAGCATTATCTTGCTTCCATTCGATGTATGATATCATGATTATGTATCTAGTGATAACGGGCATAAGTCAAACAGTGCATTCTTTCTGGAAGAGAGAGAGAGTTTGAGTTTGAGTTTGAAGTTTATTATCCAAACAAAAGTACATCAATATAACAATCAAATGTGAATGGTAAACATTGAAAGGATAAATGGGACCAGAAAATAGCATTTAATGTTAATTGTGTCTGCTACCACTAACACACAAAAGTATCACAGCAATGAATGAGAATGTAATGAATAAATATGAATAACTATTGAATACATACTTAAGCTGCAATCTATTCTACATAATAGGGTAAATATGTTCTGTGATTAAATACAAAGCTTTGGTATTTTACACTAAATAAAAGATAAAGAATTATATAACATAATATTTACAAAAAGGCAAGAATCTTGGTTCAAAGTTAATAACAATTATTCTATTAAAATTTGTGATATTAGAGAGAGAGAGAAGATGTATCTGAAGAGAATTAAATATACACCCATCAGTATATAGCAGATCTGAAGTTGATCGGTTTCAACAGAAATTAGTTATATTACGTGTAAATAACTTGAACTTTGATATTCATGGGGAAGATACAGGTAATTCACGTTCATCTTATTAGTCGATATCATTATCTGAAATAAAAGCACCATCGAACATCTAATAAATTACTATTGACATTAATTTGATGTGTTCATCGTATATTTCTGTGATTTAGGGCATCCCGGGCCGAAGAGGGTCTAAAGGAGAAATTGGTGCGAATGGCAAGACCGGTCCTGGGGGTAGGAACGGAAAAGATGGTCAAACTGGTCCCATGGGACCTCGTGGACCGGTAAGAAATCATCCTTTTGAGCTACCCCTTTTTCTATGTGTTCTATTGATGCATCAAATTCCCACCAGGGAGAGGAGATGGTGCACATTTGCTTGCCGAAGCTTGAATTCAATCAGAGCCTCATTAAGACCAGTACATTACACTTTATTTCATCATGTTCATTGTGCGTCCTCATCTTTGATAAGACTTCAAAATTGCATCGTTTTCCTAAAACTTAGCCTATTTTCCTTCTTTCCCTCATACTGTGCTCACAAAGATTTACGAGCACATTGTTTAAGTCCCAACAGTGATATAAAGTTGATGCCATTTTAAAAGGGGTTTGGTTTGCTTGTTTGTAATTGAATTTGTACCAACGTTTATGCACCAAATCTGATTGCCATACATCTTGGACCGACCTTTGACGTCACAATCCGAAAGACTGGACTCAGTTTCGAACCTGGGTCTGCTCAGGTCAGTTTGTAGGCGAGGACAGAAAGCTGACCGTACCGAAGAGGGCGTCTTTATTATCATAGACTGGTAGCCAGTCGTTTACACTATAATTTTCGCATTTTTAGCACCCTTTACCCCAAACAAAGAGGGAAAGTTACGAATAACATAACGTTTTCTGACAATGAATGACTTTCTCTGTCCATGATCGTAGAAAGGAGAGCGAGGTGACAACGGTGATCCGGGCAGCACGGGCCCTCAAGGTCCCCGGGGTACACAGGGGTATGGTGGAGGAAGGGGAGAGAAAGGAAACAAAGGAGACAGGGGTATCGGAGGAACGAACGGACAGAATGGAATCCCTGTAAGTAAAACAAATCCTCTCTGTTAGAAACTACAGTGCACTCATAACAAAGTATACCTAAAGCCTCGGTCACAAATGCCATTACGAACTGCTACGAACGCTGTACGAACAATTTTCAGACAATGGACAATCGGGAAGACAATGGAAAAACAGAGAGATTCGTACGAAAGTATCGTTCGTACGAACCTTTGTGACCGTAGCATAACGAAAAGTCTTTCAGGAAATAAATTAAAGGGCAATTTCAATACCCTATGATAAATGCATAACGCCTATAGAAGCAATATTTGGGTAATGTGTCCGCATGCACATTTAATAGTTTGTGGACAAAGCTATTGGAATTTTATATCGCTGATTTCTTGCAAGTCTTTGCAAGCGTGTAAATTTTATTTTCTACGATCAATTGTTTGAACATTTCTATCAATATCAAGAGCATCTGCCGCCGCTTCGTGTCTCTCACTGCATTGAATGTTCTCCATTTGTACGTCCCAACGACTAGCGCGCCCGCTCACACATTACGTAGTATGTACAACATAATTACGCACGCATTCAGCAGGTTAATTCGTTTTTGTGTATTTTTATCACGTTATCCCTGATATAGGTATGATTATTTGATATTTGTTATTCTTTAATCATCACTTACCTTTGAATGATTTTTATTGAAGGGTTTGACTCCATCGAAAGACGAAATCTTGCGACTTATAGAAAGATACTTCCAAAGTAAGTCATCGTCGATTATTATTGCGTGTTTTCCCTTTGCATATATCACGTCTCCACAACCAATTCCCATTGGTTCATCCCTTCTGCACTTAAAGGTCCTTTCTTGTTCGAAGTTATTGACATAATAACAATATTTTAACTATATTGAACTTCTTAAACAAATATCAATAGTGATATAACACTCTATTTCTTTCTCTATCGACAAAAGTCTACCCCATTTAATATTACTTCTGTTTTTGAGTGAAGGCAAGGTCGATGCACCCACGGACAAGTATATTTCTTAAAGATTATGCCGGACAATTTTTTCAGATTACCCGAAAGACTTCTAATATTTTGTTCTTCTTCACATACATAATAAAACGACATGATTGATAATTCTGATACTCTATATTTTAAAAACGCATTATATATATCATATAAGTTGAGCTATACAAGTGGACATTATCATCATTCCTAATATTACTCAAAATGATACCCCTTGCAGATAATATCGAAAGCTTTGAGCAGAGGTTCCGGGGTCCGCCCGGACCACCAGGAGAGAGCATCCAAGGTGAACCTGGTCCGGCCGGTATCTTAGGGCTGAGTGGACCAACGGGACCGATGGGATTGTCCGGTAACCCAGGTTCCATGGGAAGGCCAGGAATGCTGGGAGGAGTAGGAACACCAGGAGAAAGAGGTACAGAGAGACGCCTTGAAATTCTTTCGTGTTTCAATTCCATGCTTTATTCAGTATATACATTTATAGCTTATCTGTACTAGTTTACAGGAGGGACTAGACCGCCCTGCAAGTTCACTGGACAGGTGGTTATCTCATCAACTCAGCTCACAATTAACATAAGAAAAAGAGGATCATGGGGGAACAATGGTCACCGATTAGGCGTTGTTTGTTATATAGAGGGCGCAAGTAGCTACAAGTAGTGCAGTTGGCCTTTAAGATCTTCATAAGTTAGTGATGTTCGTGTTCATCAGGGCCCTGTATTCAAACAAAGAGTTACAATCGCAATCACATACGAGATAGGAGATTGCAAACTTGCGATTGATTTGGATCAATCGCAACTTTTTGTTAGACGGGGCCCATGTATTCTAGGTTGACAGGGAATGTTCACAATCAGTTAATATTGACATAATCTTGAAAAATGCCATACGCCTTGAAAGCTCGATCAAAGAACCGCTATACCATCTCAAAAGGGAGGGGGTTGTAGGACCATATTTTCGAAGAAATGAGTTACCGATTACTTTCCAGTAAGTACAAAAACAAAAATCAAACAACAATAACAACAACGGCAAAATTTACCGATTAGGGTAAAAACTGGTCTTCAATTTTGTTGGGTGCAAATGGCAAGATCGGTCCTGCGGGTAGGAACTTCCCCCAACAAGTCAAAGATGCTTATCTTTTACTATTTGGTCCAACGCCATTAAAGGGAGTGTATCATGGGAAATACTGGTCAACGCCATCTTAGTTTTCTTTCGGACAACTGCACGTTAACGAATGGACTTGATTAACTGGGTCAGCGCGCGCTAGCGTTCGCGAAACAGACCAAAGTTCTCCTCGCGCTTCGGTTTCGCGTATGTTGCATGCACGTGCATGCTGCGGTCGCGTCGTTCGTAGTCCCCGATTGGCCCCGAGTAGGTCCACGGGAAAGACGCATAGTCTCGTCATGACACACTCCCTTTAAAATCCCAAACTGAATAGGTGGTGGGGTGAATGTTGTATCAGCACGTTTAAAGATGAAGTTGAGTTCTGGTCATGCGATTGCATTGTGAAAGAAACGGTGTGGAACCGACCAGAAAAGATTGATCATCTAGCATATAAGAATTTGTGTGTATTGCAAGGTTCTGGAATCATCAAAATGCTAAGAAAATTGGCCAAGTCTTGGTAAAGTTACAAACACTTGCACAGAAAGATGTATATGGGACTACACGAACACGTGGCGTAAAAAACCGGCCCCCGATTTTTACGATGTTACATGCATACTTAGAACATGAAGGCATTTGAAGAGCCATGCTTTTCAGGGAACATGACAAACTTATCTGCCGTAGTTTACAGGAGGGATTAGACTGGCCTGCAAGGTCACTGGACAGATGGTTATCTCATCAACTCAGCTCTCAGTTAACATAAGAAAAAGAGGATCATGGGGGACCAATGGTCACCGATTAGGCATTGTTTGTTATATAGAGAGCGCAAGTAGCTACAAGTAGTGCAGTGGGCCTTTAACTGATGTACTTCCACACTAGCATAATAAGAATGAGCAATGCTCACAAATTATTTTTCACCTCTTTCCAGAAATCAACCTTCTCTTTAAATTCTGTTTGAGTATATCATCATAGTCATATTTGAGTTGACCTTTTGGTTGATACTTTATAATATCTCTCAATGTTTTATCCTTACCTATCTCCAGGTCCACGTGGTTCTAGGGGCCAGAAAGGAGACAGAGGACAAGGATATACCGGTCCTACCGGAGCACCGGGAGAAAGAGGTAAGAAATCTGGGACCCGTTTCACAAAACGTCATCAGTGACAAATGACAGTTTGTGTTATAAGCTACTGAAATCCTTGCTTCTGATTGGTTATTAGCAGATTTGTCACTGATTTTTGTTATTTGTCATTGAAAAAGGGCTTTGTGACACGGGTCCCTGGTCTTATTTACTCGGGGGTAGCCTCATATTTCTCTTCCTGCAGAAGAACCTGTAAATTATTATTATAACATCAGCATTGCCTGATACCCATTTAATATACCTGGGACTAGAGTGACGAAATATTATGGGTAAAACACCTTGTTCAAGGCTACAGACACCGAGCAGGAATCGATCCCAGAACCTGTCTATAATGAGAGCCAACGATCAAACATTCAGTCAACCAAAACACCACATACAGACTAATTCAGTCTCTCCAATGCCTCAAGAATATTTGTATTTTGAAGAAAACATAAGTCTCTCTCTCTCTCTCTCTCTCTCTCTTTCTTTCTCTCTGTCATTCTCCCATTTCAACCCGAACAGGTTTACCAGGTAAGCCAGGTATTGGGCGTCCCGGCAAAGATGGTCAGCCCGGCTTTCCTGGTCCGGCCGGTCTACCTGGAGAAAGGGGAGAGTCCGGTCAAGTTGGTGATCCTGGTTTCTGCGAATACTGCAACTACGCCCCGGGGACCTATCCGTTCCAGATACCACCAGCAATAGACCTTAATAACAAGGGTTAGCTTCGGAATCATGGGATAGAAGCAAAGCAATTGTCGTCTGCGAAAAACGGCAAAATGGCATTACACTTCACCAAAAGTGCTGACCCAACCATTAGCACTTAATAAGTTATGGCTGCTATTTTCCACAGCATGTTTTATTATTTGCTTAATGCTATAAAAAAAAATGAAATTGCTTGGATGCGACATTAAAAGTCTGTAATCTGAGAGAGACAGATAAACCCTGAAAAAATGTCCCAAACTGAACTGTTGAATAAACCTAATTTTAAGTTCGTTACCTTTTATCTAGAATTGTTTCCTTTATTATCTGCCTTTACTGACGATGTATAAAAGGTAATGCGTAAACGAGTTAAAATGATCGTAGGACCAATGGATGCTAAGGGGCCGACCGAAAAGTGTTTAACGTTTTCTATTTCTACATTTCGCGTGTCTATCTTGCTTCCGGCGTAAAATATGTGTAAATATTATTTCCGAATTTTGTGTGTGTATGCGTATAAGAAGTGTAAATCATAGCCGGATAAAGTGATATCGTTTTATCTGATTTATTACGATTTTTGTTTTTACTTTGTCCAGTTAATTTAATTTTTGTTTCCAAGTTTTTGCAAGGTGATTATCTTTCATCACCATATTTCTTACTTAGACCAACATTTGATCAAATCACCCGGAAGAAAATAATAAATGTACTTCCGTCGCTTGATCTATGGCTGTTCCTATTTTCATAGATCAACATCGAGGCGTATTAAAACCGGCATCATATATTCAAAGTCACTTAGGTTAACAAGGCGATGTAACTGTAGAGGTCGACTTTGCTTACTCTAGATTTTAGACACTTTTAACGATAGCTGTCTAGCTGATTTTCTGTTTATTTATCATATTCATAATGTCATGAATGTTGTTAAAATGTTATTGCGTTATTCATTACACTTATGCCGTACTATGTATCTAGATAATGGCAGATCACTTGATATTTTAGCATCGATTTGTGAATATATTGCTATAGTTATCTTACATTCTAACACATAACGATTTATCATTTTATTCTCCCCTTTTTTCCCTTACATTAATTCATTTGTAAATAAAAATCATTGCATTATACTGCCGTTAGCACTAGAATAGATATTTACTGTATTATTATAATCTTGTTTTATAATTGTAATAGAAAGGTGAGTGATGTAACCCTAATTTTGATGTGAACCTTCGCGTTTAATACCAATGGATATTAACATACGTTGTCCAAAAAAAGGCGCCGAGGGCGAATATAAAGAGCTCTTGAAGTCATGATATCAACATTGTTCAAGCGATTCGCACAATATTGACTGCTTATCTTGTAATACCGTGGTGCTGCATATACATAATCATTTCGTAGTAGTTATTCATGTTCGTGAAATTTAGCAAACTCTCATTTCTTTTGTAGAACCGGAATATTACTTGTATGATAATGGCCTGGACATTCACATCGTTTGTTGTGCATATTGTGCCTTATTCACGATTGGTGCTATATTTTGTAGATTTCAACGTTTATCATGTCTTTAAACCAGGTAGACAATAGGGACTTTTAGAATTGCCGAACGACAACGTGGATTGCTACGATCGACTTCCTTTTAATGCACTGCCTTGAATGGAAGTCACACGTATCAGTCCACGCAAATCTAAAAGTCCCTAATGAATCTGTCAAGAGAAATTTACCCATACAGTATGTTGAATTTAAAGATTCATTTTGTTATTAGAAAGAGCAATGAAACAAGGATTTTGGCATGTACCTTTTCCATAAGCTTAACAGACTATGGCATTTGTGGACTGGGATTAACTATCGCATGTGTGGATTGTAGCACTCTGAATGATATCAAATATTCATGATGTTTATAGGCAGTTGCAGTTTTTTCAATAAAACTTTGGAAACATAACATATCCTCAATTTTCTTTCATTTTTTGAGGTCAGAATGTCGGCCGTTTATGGAGTTGACGGTTTGAAATTACATGTGGTAAATGACACCCCATTATAGATGATTATTGTCAAGTCATAGTCATCATCATCGTCGCTATCATCATCATCATCACTATCATCGTCATTATCATCACCATCATTACCATCATATATCATCATCGTCATCATCATCCGTATAGATGTCATCTGCATCAAATTTATTACCCCCCCCCCCCAAAAAAAAAAAAAAAAAAAAATTATTAAAAAGAACAATTATGATAATAATAATTATATTATAATAAAAAAATGAATAAATAAAAAATAAAAAAAACAATTAATTAACTATTTAAAAAAATTAAAAATAATAAATAAAACCAACCAAACAAAGAACACCCATACATCAACAAAACAACACAGAGATAACGTGATCAACTTTTGCATGAAAGTGTTTGGTATGTCATATTTTATTACAACACATGTTTGGTGACTTATTTACTTAGTACATTAACATATTCCAAATAAAGTCGATACGAAAACAAGCAAACAAAAACTCGATATCTTGTTTTATACAAATCAATCAAACAAATGGTCTAGCCGAACGAACAAAATGTAAACTGGAGGAAAAGTAAAATTAGTTCTTCAGCCGATTATAACATTTATAATGTTCTCTTAAATTTTGCGCTTTGTCTATTCATTCAGCTATTAAAGTAATAATCGATTAATGAAGAGGAGTGTTAATCAATTCTTTTAGGATTCAAACAAGGATCATTTCATTTGGGGGTTGAATCTACCCCCCCCCCCCCCCAATACCTACTGCGACTTCTGAGAGAATGAATTATCCGGAGGATTTTCACTCCTGTATACATAAAGACCCATATTGTTCGAAATCAGATTTAAAAAAAGGGTTTGTTTTTAAATGATTTTTTAAAATATTTTTAAAACCTTTTCTTAGACCCAGAGTCGGGTTTAACTGAATTAGTAGAATACGGACCATATATAGAGAGTAAAGAGCTGACATGATTCTGGAGATGAAAAATAAAACGTGATGAAAGAACATATTAAAATGTAAACGTTACTAAGAATGGCTCCAAAACATGAACATGAAAAAAATGCTTATGATAATTACAACTACTGGTAAATTTTTCATTGTATATCTCAAAACTAGCTGTACAACGTATTCGTCTTCCAACACAGTAGTTTCCCCTCCCCAAAACGTTAGTAATTGCCTTAAACCAAGTATATAAACAAATCTGTAAACATATATCACAAACAAAGTCAAAATGAAACAAAATACAAAGCAAAAAATATGATGAGATGTATAATCATTGACTTAATATCTACAAAATGACACTACGCCTTTGGTTTTTTATGCGAATCATTCATTATTTGCGAAATTCCACTTCTACAAGTTGGTAGGTGTATGATACCTTTAATACAGGCTAGTGAAATTGAAATTCGAAAGCTCTTGCTAACAATTGATATACACTTTATTTGTCTTTATCCATTTGCGGCAGCTTTCTCTGTACCTTCTTCCAGTATATTTATTTCATTAAATTACATTACAACATGCACTGTGCACACAGCGAAATGCATCATTACTGAGTGCTGAGTTATGACATGTTTCCAGCAATGAATAATTACGAAGAAATATCGCATTTCCTTTATGACAATGAAAATATGATTTAATGTAAAATCATTCGCTGGCTTAACATATTGTTTGATTCTCTCAAAATAGAATCGAAATTATTTGCTTTTGGAGTTCCCGATAACTTCCGACAAATAATCCTGGAAAAAAACAATCGAAACAAATTAAGTCTACATTTACATCTCTCTTTCCAATAACAAGCTACAAATTGAGTTTTGCTCGAACATATACAGAAAAGGTTATGAAAAGATAAATTAGAGACGTTGTATTTCAATGACTTAGGTTAGCAAAAACACCGCATGTGAAAAGCAATAAAACAAAACGAAAGATGGATATGAAAACATTTTAAGAGAAGTCTTTGCGACGTTACATTGCTACTTTAAAGTTCCTCCACATAACCGAAATGAGAGAGCAAATATATTTGAACTTTTTCTGAACTCGGCCTTCATTTTAAATCTGGCGTCTTGATTTTGTTTCGATGTACGGTTTTGATCGAAATTGTTCCGTGAATGTAAAGGAAACTATAGGAGCAACACAAAAACAAGCAAGCAACTTCATGTGAAATAATGTTCCCTTTTCTGGAAGAATAAGCGAGAACTTACGGGACATAATTAATCATAGTTGGCGTAAGTTGGGCAAGACAATATAGGGGCAAGTCTTCTTGCGTTTAATTCATCAAAACGCGTAACTGAATCCATAGTATACCAAAGTCATCGCAATGATTATTAGTGATAAAAGGGATATCACTGCGACACAAGTATTGTGCTTTAACTTATTGTTCACAAAAGTACATAATAGTCAGGTAGAAACTCATCTCCTCCATAGTTGAAACTTGAAAGCATAACTCAAGGAATAATACAATAAACATATTAGCTTACTACGAAAACTTGTACTCAATCACCATAGCTATACAATATATTCTTTCATAATTCATTTGATAGGTTTATATAGGTAATGAAAATATGTCAATGAATATCTATGTATCAAAAAAGTAGTTGCGTATTATACAATGTTATCAATAATTTCCAATCTCCTAAGCGGTCTCTTATTACCTCATTCGTGAAGACACACTACGGAACATCTTCCTCCAAACACGGCTGCATACAATAACAACTTCTTGTCTATATAAAAGTTCGTTCTTTCTTCTATGGCAGGCTCCGTGGGCTAGTACTTAAGTTCGTTGGAGCAACCAAATGAAATGCTTCAAAGTTGACAAGAAGATTTTTGTACTGGCAGCTCGAAAGAAAGAGTACGGTACGAAAAATGAGCACATCGTTATTTCAACAATGAAATAAAGAATAGCTGAGGCATAACGTGAATGTGTTGAAACTGTACATACATGTACGATGTATATGTTATACATGAACGACTGACGGTGAATAGTTGAGATTGACCATTCGTATGTGACCCTGTGGATCCTCTTCGATGTGGTGGTAAGGAGATGGGTGATGTTCATAGTCTTTGAGTTCTTGTTCGACGTCGTTATCAGCGACGACGTTCCTCCTTCTGTCGATGCTGCCTAGGCTTCCTCCATATCGCTGATGAATAGGAGGAGGAGGATGAGGATGAGCATTGGGATGAGGATGAGGATGAGGGTGAGGGTGGGGGTGGGGGTGAGATTGAGGATGGGGATGTGGATGAGGATGAGAATGCGGGTGGTCGAGGTTTCTTTCAAGCTCCATGTCACGGCTCCGACGATCACGGCCTCGATCGTAACCCACCGCACGTGGCATCTCGAGCGTGTCCACGTTATGGATGTCAGCCTCGCCATCTGCAGACATCCGCATATCAACGTCCATATCAAAGTCGAGATCCATCCTGCCGCTGATATCTGTATCTCTGCTCAGTCTCAAATCACTCCCCATCTCAAAACCCCTATCAGCCACCATATCCATCGCTAGACGATGTCGACCTAGACCATCCTCATCATCAAAATCAGAGTTAATCGACAACGGCCGTCGCTTGTCCACGTCGAGCACATCATGGTATTCGTTGAGCTCTTCTTCTTCGATCATCCCTGAGGCAAGAGGTCGGCCGTAGTCGTAATCCCGAGGGGGTGGTGGTAGTGGGGGTGGGGTGGAAGACGGGGGTGGTGGGATGGTGAATAAGATACGATCATCTTGAAACGCTGTCGAAGACACCACATCGGGCATGAGTGTAAAATATGGGTGGTCTTCCGGGTAGCTTCCCCGCACACCAGGGTGGTAAGTGTGACTTCTATCAATATAACTATTATGACTATTGTCCACCCTCGACGTGTTGTTATCCAACGTCATCGACTCCACAGGGACGCGTTCACCGACAACCCGCTCATTGACGCGATCGTTAATCCGATCGTAGAAGTTGTCCCCAAGCTCAGGCATGCTGCGGCGCATAGCTGGTGGTACCTGGCTATTCATCCTGCTGGGTTGAAGTGGGATGCGCGTTCCAGGAACGCCCTTCGGTCGCATCTGCATGGTGGAGTTCTTGTGGTTGAGTTCCTCGTAGATGCGATCCGAGTTAGATAGAGGACGTTGAAGCGACTCGTACTTGCGATCTGGAGAGGCGTCTGCGAAGATGTTGTTCTCGTAGAGCTGCGATGGGGGTTCAAGTGTGTCTCCGCCAGCTTTGCTTGATTTCCTGATTTAAAAAAAAAGAATACAGAGGAAAATAATTTCGTTTAGTATCTGCTTTTTTTTCTTCTTCCTATTCAAACTGGACATTTAAATTCATATCATTGCATAAAAGGACAGAACAACTCTGACATGATGGTTTAAAATATGGCTTTTGTAAAGTTTCAAAATTAAAACAAAGCGATACAATGATTGAACAAAACTAAGATTGTATAAGGATAGTTTTTCTCGTAAATCTTAGTGTTTGGATGAACCTTAAACTATCTGAATGTCCCAATGGTATATCAAAGATATCATTTCACACTTGCGTCCACTATATTGCTTCCTTTTTTCCGAACTGTCTGATTATTTTAAAAGTTTAACCCGTTTTCTTTACGGATTAGCTCAGAGAAGACATATTGCTATAATAATAATAATACTACTAATAATATTATATCGCTTAATACAAATGTCTCTAAGCGCTTTACAAATATACTATGTGATATTACAGTTTCTGTGTGACGATTTGGGTGTGAAGTAAGATGATTAAAATGCAGTGGTTTACTTACCTCTGCCTGTGAATGATAAGGACGACGACGAGGATGATGATGAGGATGAGTGCTACCAGGGCTGCCGCTGCGATCGGGACGATGATGTCCAGACCTATATGTAAATAAAAGATACACAGTTTTTCCATTAGTGAGGTTTATTCATGCCAACTACATAACAACAAATTATCACTGGAAGGCCATTTCAATTTTTTTCTTAATTTCTTTCCACAAATAAATGGCTTTCATCCAGGAAGACCTATATCTCTTGTAACTCAATAAAAAGCAACATATTTATAAAACTGTGGTATTTATCCCTGTTTTATAGCATACTGCCCCCTTTGGTGGAGTAACAAAGAAAAGAAACAGAACAATATATTCATAGACTGAAAGAGAGCTGTCAAAATCATCGCTCAACCAAAGGTGAAATAGGGGCACATACCCTAGCCCCGCCCCCTAAGAAAACACTTTTTGGAAGACTTTGTTTGGTACAATTTAGCTTTGCTTATCAAATATTCATACTGTGTGCCTATCCCCCTCGCCACTCCCTGGACAAAGAAAATCCTGAACGTAGGGGCAAATGTTCATTTTCATTCGGTCCTTACCAAGTCCATTATTTGAGCCTCCAACAGGTGGTGGTGTAATGCTCCCCGACCCACCGGGCATGATGGTACGCCCTGATGTACCTCCTCCCATCCCTGGGCGTGTCAGAAGAGTTGAGCCTGAAATACCACGGGACGGTGGGGGTGTGCTTCGGGATGAGCTGGGAACGTTGGATAAAGTGCTGTGAGTTGCTGGAGGAAGGGCTGGAAAAGAGGAACAATAACAATCGTGATAAGAAACATTTTTAGAAGATCCTTATATAATATATCACTTTATTACTTTTAAATTTGAATATCTGCCAAGAACAGGCTCAGATATATGAGGCTGAAGTAAGGATGCAGTTCTGAATTTCAACTATACAAATTTGTTGTGTTCTTTACATGTTTACATCGGTGTTTCAATCACTGTGTAACTAATCCAATCATTGGTTCATAGATAAATGCAATGGTTTACCTCAAAAACGTGTATTATTATCATAGGAAATTTGACAGCAAATAGTCTGACTCCCCCCACCCCCCCCCCCCCTCCTCCTCCTCCTCCTCCTGTTCTACCTAATAGTAAACAATTACATGACATTAATACTTACGATCACCCTCAAATATATCGATGAGTTGGACATCATCTATGGAAATATCACTCTGTACACCATTTCGTACTGCCTCGATAGAAACCTACAAAGAAAAACAAAGAGTGTCATTATTATTGAATCAATCATAATTATACCACTTTGTTTCATTCCACAGTAGATATTATGTTTTTAAAAAATCGAAAGATGTTCAATACTTGTAGCGTACGTTCGTAAAACGTTTGAATATAGATTAATGATTCAGGAGAGTGATGGCAGAGAAAGGGAGTGCTGATGAAGAGAGGGAGGTAGAAAGAGAGGGGAACAGCAGTTTGAGAGGGAGAGAGAGACGGGGGGGGGGGGGGGTTAAGAGGGGGGAAATGGAGCTCGGGAGGGAGAGGGATAGAAGAACAGAGAGAACGAGGGAGATGAAGAGAGGGACGGGAGGTACATGTATAAAGAGAAGGACACAGGGGCTCGGAAGGGAGAGAGGGACAGAGAGAATGAGAGAGTTGAAAAGCAGGAAAGGGAGGTATAAAGAGAGGGGACGCAGGGGCTCGAGAGGGAGGGGACGAGAGAGAGAGAAAGAGAGAGCGAGAGAGAGAGCGAGATGATGATGATGGTGAAAAGGAAGGCGGAAATCACTTCGCCCTTCACCCGTGAAAGAATATTGAGCTGTGTCCAGCTTGGCGCCAAAACAGCCATCACGTGATCACATTATACCGCAAAAACACATGTTGTGCCGATATGCAAGATTATACATACAATAATACTACCCCAATTAACAGACTACCGCTCAAAGGCATACACTAACAATATTAAGAGGAACAAATTATTCAATTAGCAACACACAATGCAAAATAGTGCTACAAATTCGGTAGACAACGCCTTTTTAGACTGACCAAAAAATATACGGCAAGAGTAGGATGTACTTGAAATGCATGTTGCTATATTATCTGTTATCATTATGTAAACTGGCCTTTATTGGTTGTAAAAAGAGGAAAGTACTGACATCAATCGTTTAGTAAATAGAGAAAAAATAATGGTGTTAGGAATGACTGACGCATTAAGCGCCTTAAACAACGACAAAAAAACTCCTCCGATGGAATAAAGCAGAAGTGTTAAAGGTTTACAACTCACCTGTACGGGTTGCTGATCGCACTGGAGTTCGATGACGACTTCATTCCAATTATAGCCCTGGTTGCCGTCTACCGACCAGGTCACATTCCTTGTCCCTCCGCAGTCCATGTAGACGTTGAGTGTCCCCATCTGATTCCTGGGCCCGTAGCCGTCAAGCATGTGATAGAAGAGGGTCAGTTGGGCGTGGCCCTCGCGGAATCGCTGCTGGTCGTTGAGAAGGTGGATGACCGCGCGATCACCCATCCGTACGTTGTTGGCATTCGCATCGATGAAGTAATATTTGCCTGATGGAATAAAACGACAATCATATATATTACAATGTATACTAGCAGGTCGACACATTGCTATGCCCTACATCTATTTACGACCATCACTAATAAATTGAATTTCGATCGAAGACTAACTTTTTAGGAATCAAATTCCAAGAGATTTCCTACTTTTAGATATTTTCCAAAGATAACCCCTGTCAAAGCACGTTAATTTTGTACAAAAAGCAAGCTCCGCACATCGTATCTTGCATAGAAAACAATTTTCCCAATGTTTGCATATAACATTTATGATTTTTTTTTTTTGTACAGAGCACTTGGGAGTTGGGAGGGGACCTCGCAAGATACTCACATAGATGCTAACTTGTGTTTGATTGATTGCAACTTCACAAATTCATAACTTTCTTATTTTCAATCGGAATTTGCTCAACTTTCGCTGACATATTCCTCTTATTTTTCTGCTTAAAATCAGGTTGAACTTCTCCCCTAAATTTACAATAAGGGATAGGCGTATATGTTATGACCAATATTCCTAAGCGAAAAATCTAAATAAAACCCCGATTCTCACCAGTGCTATTCTTGAATGTATGATCAGTCTCTGGACCTGTGGACCACTCTCCTTGCCATCCCACCCCGATCTTGAAGTCGATCTCATCGTTCTGCTTCTCCTGTTGGATACTGTTCACACAAGCCGTGTCGAAGTTACAGGAAAAGAGCACTGCAAGATAAGAAGACAAACGGAAATGGTAGAGTTTAGAGCTGGTCTGAAAATATCATTCAAGATTCAAGTTACATTGTCCATATCCTGATAGAGACAATCATGGAACATAAAACATGTATCCTTAAAGATGAAGTTGAGTTCTGGTCATGCGATTGCATTGTGAAAGAAACGGTGTGGAACCGACCAGAAAAGGTTGATCATCTAGCATATAAGAATTTGTGTGTATTGCAAGGTTCTGGAATCATCAAAATGATAAGAAATTTGGCCAAGTCTTGGTAAAGTTAAAAACACTTGCACAGAAAGATGTATATGGGACTACACGAACACGTGGCGTAAAAAACCGGCCCCCGATTTTTACGATGTTACATGCATATTTAGAATATAAAGGCATTTGAAGAGCCATGCTTTTCAGGGAACATGTCTTAACTGATGTTCTTTCACACTTGCATAATATGAATGAGTAATGCTCACAAATTACTTTTCATCTCTTCCCAGAACTCAACCTTCTCTTTAATTCAAATCATTAATTCTTGGATTTCATAGACTATGGTGGAGAAGCTCAAAGTCTTTCTGAAAATACTTATGTACATGTATTTACTAGTTAGCCAACAAATTATTAGCCAGTCTGATTATATTATGGGGAGTCAGTCCGAGTCACTATAGAAGTATCTGATGTCATTTTACATTAATTTAATCTCATGTACATGTATCAAGCGCTCAAGTTAGATTTCATAACTAAGTGATAACATGATAGGACAATATTACAGTAAGGGTGGGTACGAGCCTGACCTTCTTCGAAAAACAGCGCCATCTTCGTTCATATCTCTATAAATATTTTCATTATGTTTCATACTTCAGACTATTTCTCGTTCTCATTCCTTTCTCATTACTTCTCAGGCAAAACTCAACTTATAATCATCTCTCCTTCTTCGTCCCTTCTTTTCTTTCTGAATGCCATCCTCTTTATTTACATTTCTTCTTTAACCTCTGTATCACATTCTTGTTATTGCTCCCTCTCTCCTCTTCTTTTCGTTCTCATTTCCGTTGCAGACGAGACGATATATCGACAGCTTTCAAACACTCTTCCGTCTCCTCTTGTACACACCCCAATTCACTAAAGTCCAGCGGAAGAAGCTGAGATGTACCTTAATCTTCCAATTACATCCAATATCTCTCATCATATAGGTGGATTTTCGTGTTTGTGCTGCTTTACCTCATCCACGCACGACGCATGGCTCACCAGGCTAAATATCGTATCAGCGAAATAACGTATCAAGGTTGCTACACCGTCAGAGGGCGTGTGCTACAAAGCATAAGTAAACTAATATTTTCTCAGCCAGTAATATTTTCTCAGCCAGTAGCATTTTGTTTTTCTTTACGTCACCTGATTTGCCTATTCTGGATGAAGATGCGAAAGAAACATGAGCATTTCCTCCCTTAACTTAGACATGTTATAATACACCTGCATCTGGTGCCTAGTGTTCAGCGTATTGGAACTATGTAATACTTCTGTAATGTCACATTAACGTAACAGTAACACAAGTTATGATGTTACTTTGTATTGACACAACAAAGAAAACGAACAGTTTTAATATATGTAGGCCTAATAGGTCCAATCTCTCACATTTGCACCTCTCTTCTACATGTGTTGGTAATACTAACACAAAGGTTTAACGGTAACAAAACAGGTGAAAGTAAACATTATGCAGAGTACAGATCATACTCAGATGTAATTTTGTTTTTCTACCAGTGCATTTTAACCCCGCATAAAACAGATTCCTATTTACACAGTCCAGCTCTTTTGCTAAGACTCCACTGCAGACGAGAGTCTCCAGAAATGTTCCTTGGTAGCGACTCTTGCATCTTCGGAGTCAACACTCGTGTTAGCAGCGAGTCGAAACCAAGTGCGAAATTTTAATTGGCATTCTACCGGCCAATCACCGGATCACCGCCTGTCAAATTCTCCTCCAAACAAAGAATTATAAGCCTTAGGTGACATGACAAATCCAGTTGGAATAGAATTAAAAACGAGAGGAGCAAAATATAAGGAGAAATAGAAGTGATGCCAGGAGTAGGGTTTGAATGGAAGTCAGGAGGAGAGTCAGTGGACGGAGTTTGAACGATGTTTTTAATATAACACTCCCAAAGGCTCTGGAAGTTATGAATAGAGCAACCTGGGTATATTAGGTCAGGGGTATTCAACGAGTTGTGATCAATAGAGCTGTAACTACAGCACCCTAAGCTTACAGTCAGTACATGGACTGGGTGCCCCAATGTGACACTCAAGTCAAACTAAGTAGGGATAAAATAAACGAGGGGTAAAAAGCAATTTCGTCAGGAACTCTGTATTTCATTAACAAAGCCCCTTTAAAATGTTTTAAGAAGTGAAATGTAGGAACCTCTACGTCAAGTATATAGCACCCTTCGCGCAGCATGAATTTCCGTTTGGGCAGGGGAAGGGGGAGGGGGAGGGGAAGGGGGAGGGGAAGGGGAGGGGAAGGGGAGGGGAAGGGGAGGGGAAGGGGGAGGGGAAGGGGGAGGGGTAGGGTGATGGAAGGGGCGGGGCCTGGAGGAGCAACAGTACAACATTAAATTAACAATACATATTTAATCATTTATTTATGATAAATGCCAGGAATTAAACAAAGAGCAGTGTGAGCCATATCACGGAAAAATGTGGATTTCAATCATTTAATTGAGAAGCCGACGTATATATTATTTCATTTTTTCTTGTCATAGATGACCCGAACTAAGATTGGTCGCTAGAAACTATAACCGATTTATATGACCTCTCTTTCTAATGTGTTTTCATGTCAGATCGTAATGCTTAGATGAAGGTTGAGAGTCCGAGACATGATTGAGAACATCGGTGATCAATGGGGATGTCGCGAAGATTGGTAAAAAGGCCCTTTTCTCCCCGTTTTTAGTGAGCCGTCCATCATCCTTTGTGCCTGGCACAGTTAACGTAATTAGGTGTGTGACATGCAGGCAAAGCAACTGAATCAACGCATCATCATCACACGAGTTTAGGCTACAGAATGCTTGGAGCAAAGTTAACACGGAATGATACATGGGGGCAATCATGTTGTGACAGCGACGGAGAAAAGCTGTGACGAAACAATGGAATTCATATTCATTTTGTGATTAAGGGGGGGGGGTGTCCTTACGACTGAGATTTAAATTGAACATACGTGGTTCATTGCCTTTAAAATCACTAGAATTAGCTAGATGAAGTGCCCAATAGAAAGTTTGCCTTATAACACCATCTTGCTGTTTTAATTTCATAAGTTATTCTGTGAATAATATAGATTCTTGAGGATCTGATCATATCTATACTAGTAGCCCCTTGTGATTCTCTAAAATGGCTGACAATTTTTTTTTTTTTTTTTTACCTTACTACTGACCAGGGGACCGGCGGCTTTAAGTCCTCTCTGATGGACTTGGTAATGAGGATTAATGCCTCCCAAAAGGGCACTACCGCATCGTCATGGTTTAGAACATATGACCTCTCGGTTCCGAGACCACTGCTTTACCACTGAGCCTAATGTGCCTCATCGTAATTAAAAACCTTTGACAACATTAGTTTGTTGCTTTAACATTCAATTAAAAGTGCAGTGTAAGGTTTGAGAAGAAGGACAAAAAGGAACAAAACATAACTTAATATTAGCAGCTGAAACTCGAATCCTACCACGATTTCAAAGCTCTCCGGCCTCGCCTTTTCTTTGTCTCATAACATCATTCCAACAATGCGTCACCGAATGTTTGATGACAAAACAATGAGCCAGACAAAATCTGGAACAGGTATGAAAGCAAGCATTTCCAAACAGGATTAGTAAGGTGTGGAAAAAAATCACTCCTGTTTCATATAACTCTTAGTCTGATCTGTCCCAGGAAAAAGGGAGAGGGGAAAAAAGCCACGATTTCTTCTGACCGGCACGATTTGCCCCTTAGCATTAATTTCACTAGACGTCACTTTAATACAATTATTATTCGCTCCCATATTCCAACTTGGTATTTCCATCTACTTCTTTCCCGGCTGTGTTGATTTTTTTTTCCCTCTACAATTTTTGCTGATGGCGATGGAAATCAAATCAGCAAGCGTTTGATATGAAACCGACCCCCTGAAAAATGAAGGATTGATTGAAAACAGACCACCTAATCTGGTTTAATCCTTCTCTGGAGCTTGAGAGAAAGAGAATGAAGATGCTTAAACAAGGAGATGATGATAATTAAATCATCTAATTATATATCTCGGGTTGGGTCTGATTGCAGATACATTTTTGACATTGATAGTTAGAGTCTAAATGATATCGACAACGTGTGAATAATTGCGCTTATAGCATCATGATAGATATAGACAAAGGTCTCCGTATTCAATATTTCGTCATATTCGTTTTATTAAAGGTAAAGACCAGTTATGGTCATGCGATTGCATTGTGAAAGAAACGTTGTGGAATCGATCAGAAAAGGTTGATCATCTAGCATCTAGCATCTGCAAGGTTCTGGAATCATCAAAACGATAAGAAATTTGGCCCATTCTTCGTAAAGTTACAAGCACTATACACAGAAAGATGTATATGGGACTACCCTATATCTCTCACAGACCATGAGAGAAACAAATTTACCAAATATATGAATTAGTAGGCGGTTTCCCGGCAAATTTGTTATCATCATGTATTAGTCAAAACATATTCTTTCACATGATTGGTTATGAGAGCTTCCATTTCATTTTTTGAAATTGGGGCGTTTCCAATACTGGTCTTTACCTTTAAACACGAAACGGAAAAACATATTGAGAATATTCGGGAGATGGAAATGTTTTTGGAAGTTGGTCGAATCTTATAGCATTCACCAAGAGCAGTAGCGTGTTAACTGAAAGCACAACAAATCCATTAAAGGAAACCAAAACCTTCATACTAAGTTACTTTTATTGTAAAGTTTAAGATATTTGAAAAATATCAGTGAAAATTTGAACAAAATCGGGCAAGGAATAAGGAAGTAAGAGCTTTTTGAAATGACTAGTCACAAGAGGGCGGTATTCAATTTGATGACATCATCTGTGGACAACTCTCCATGCCTTTTGTACATCAAATTTCATGTTTTTCCTTCTTTCTTGTGATTGAGATAATGTACTCCCTTGAAAGCAAGATATAGAATGCAAAATGATATTCTACTTCACATGTTATGAAGTCGGATCAAGAACACAAATAAATACGAAGAAAACAAAAAAATTGTGAATTTTATGTACAAAAGGCATGGAGAGTTGTTCACAGATGATGTCATCAAATTGAATACCGCCCTCTAGTGACTAGTCATTTCGAAATGCTCTAACTTTCTTATTCCTTGCCCGATTTTCTTCAAATTTTCACTGATTTTATTCAAATCTTTTAAACTTTACAATAAAAGTAACTTAGTATGAAGGTTTTGGTTTCCTTTAACGGCCATGGTTTTCATGCGTCGACTCTCAACTAATGGCGAGAAGGTGCCTACATTATTGGCTCATTCGTGTGAAACTAACATGACTGATGAAAATGAAAGCTAAATTTGATATTTGATTTGTTACAAGCAGGGAAGTGTTTCCTTTTCATACAATTATAATCACGGTAATAAAACTCAGCTCTATTTTTTTCAATTTCATATATCAATTTCATAAAATACAAAGATATAATATATAATAAAATTGTGCCTGGGAATCGCATTAAAAAACAGTGGATTGCAATAAAACTCAGCGATTCCCCTTGAAATCATAATAATGAAAACAGTAAATAGAGAAAACAAATAAAGCACAGAACGAAACGAAAACCATAAATTGGCAAGCACACTACAAACAGTAAACAAGAAAATGAAGAAATATAGAAAATAATTAATATACATTATATATTATCAACGATGGAAAGAAATGAGAGTGTGAAGCCAGTATATATTTAACTTGGATTGAAATTTGAGATATTTAAGGATTCCAATCGAACGTTGTCCAATTAAATGTTAAGCCCCCAAATATGCAAGTGGGCGAGTTCAGTCATGGACCGGACCTAGTCCATGGTTCAACACAAAAAGATCAACATAGACCCTATCAGTTTTTCTCTGCGCCACCCTCGCAATCAAATACACAAATACAAAAGAACATGGTCATTTTCCAATAATAATTTCATCCATTTCTGACCTCATTCTGAGCAGACTCTAATAATGGGTTGTTAATTATCGCCCGCCTACAAGGTTATTTCATTCAATACACACAACGAAACGCATTAAAAATCGTTATCACGATGACAAATAAGAATATTTCTACTGGTGGTGGCGCCTTTGTTACACCAGATGTCAATAGTTTATATATTTCATAGAATAAAACGGACATGTGTCAATCAAAGTCCATCAAAAGGGCGGTTTGGGGTTTGTCATAATGTGTACACAATAGAATTGCATAGCCGTTGCTCACTTTTCGTTTCCCCGTTTAGTGCGAGAATATATGTATTACTTTGTTTATATGTTTGCTTGTTTATTTATTGATGTAGCTATTTTACAAGCAATCATTCAACAACTATGTTTTGATTTTTTTAAACTTAAAGGTCTACAATAAAGATAAGCAGAGTGGAGTCGTTTCCCACTCCGGTTTGACCCGCCTCCACCCCCCCCCCCCAAAAAAAAAAAATAACGATGAAACGAAACAAACACAAAAACAAAATTACTTAAACATGTAGTTTATGGCACGCGGGTAGCAAAAATCATATTTCAGTACCTCCCCCCCCCCCCCCCCCCCCCACGAATGGAAATATGTTTTCTTACGCATCCTTACATATTTCTAACTAAATTAATAGCTCCAGACTTTCACTACTGTACATAATTAACACAACCGTGCTGCAAATACAGATGGAGAAACATTGACATTTACATAAACGAGATTTCGAATTGACAGAAGTTCAATAAACAGGCACCGGCCATCAATTGATCGGGGAGGGGAGGATAGTATTGACTAAATACCGTTTTCAAGGGAATGGAAAATTATAACAGCAGGGGCAAAACGTTCGGTAATTATTCTAAAATTGCATTGACCAAAGCACGTGTCTTTGTTATCAGCCTCATTAGACAAATTCGCTTGGCCGAGCGAAAGCATTACTGTCTGCAAATAAACAATAGAGGGACATCGATAGTCTATTGTCCTGGGCGACATCCATTGTGCTGTCCTGCTGCATGTTGTCGCCGTAAGATATGAAAAATGAAAAGAGCAAGTATATTGCTTCCGATAATTTGTAATTGTCGACAATTATTGTGGACATTATACTGGTAGAAATTAGAGGAGTAGATGTATTTGAATTACTAACATACTGCGGGACTACTGTACAGGGGTTTCCTTCTAAAGTTTCACTTTTTATTTTAAAAGAAGAAAAACAAATTCGTGTGAACATTTTAACAAAAATATCAAACACATCAACAAATATATCTTATTTGTCTTCTTGTACAGTACAGTAACCATCTTTCTTAAAGTTATCGTTCCCTCGTAGAACCGTAGTAGGTTCATGGTAAAACGCTGTCGGAAAAAAAATGTACATTGTGGGCCGGGTTTGTGGCGACTGGCAACAAACTAAAGAGAATAAGCAGGCCGACAATATATGTAGGAAAATGTTAAATACGCAAACTATTAATCCAACCAAAAGAGTGCACAAAAGGAAAACACAGATGTCATTTACCTTCGTGTGTCTTGGTCATGGCTCCTGATATGAATCCAAAATATCAATTAAATTGCTATACGCTGAAAATATTCCCAGTGGTCTTTACTCGACAACAGACAACACAACACTACTCCTGCCGAATTCCTGACCAGATCCGCTCACAATATCACAAATAAGCTTCCCAATACCCTTGAGAGAGAGAGAGAAAAAAGCATTGGCAAACAAGTCCCTGTAAAGTACTAATGGCTCTCCCCTATTCAAATAGTATATTTTCCTCTCAAACAATCAACATTGTATGTTTGTTATGTGGACGACTGAGAGAAAAATAGAAAAAGAAGACGATAAAAGAGAAAATAAGACGAGTCTATAGAAGAAGCGGTAAAAAATAGAGGAAAGCAAATAGTCCGAATTTAACTACCCGCCGAGCTCAAGGCATTAACCCTCTAGATATTATGTTTTGGAGATCCCAACACTGCTGACTATGAGCGGCGTTCTTATGAGAAGTGACTGCTGAAAGTAGGAGGTCTCGTTGAAAGCAATGTTGGAAAACATGGGTAAAATGATGCCCGAAAGCTAAGGACAAAATAATTGTATCATTTGATTTGGGAAAATGAGAGGTGAGAGCCCCTCCGTCAGAATTGTCCTCCTCTTTCCTATTTAGTTTTTTTTTTCAATTTTCTTCTTCTCTTCTTCTTCTTCGTTCTTTTTTTTTCCTTCTTTTTTTTCCTTCTTCTTCTTCTTCTTCTTCTTCTTCTTCTTTTCCTTTTCTTCCTCTTCGTCTTCTCCATCATCATCATATCCCCCTTTCCCCTCTCTGGTAAATTTCTGTGAACTTCCAACAACATCTTAGACGCAGTAATTTTGTACAAATTGATACATTGTTTTTAAAACCACATTCAAGACCTTCTTCGGTTTTCAGGCTTGATGGGGGGGGGGGGCGCATAGAAGACGCAGTTGATTCCGCAATTATTCAGAGGCAACCAGCACCCCATGTGAACTTTAGTGTAACAAGTACTCTCGTTGCCATTAACTTCCATATTATCGTATTAAAGGTAAAGACCAGTATTGGAAACGCCCCAATTTCAAAAAATGAAATGAAAGCACTCATTACCAATCATGTGAAAGAATATGTTTTGACTAATACATGATGATACAAAATTTGCCGGGAAACCGCCTACTAATTCATATATTTGGTAAATTTGTTTCTCTCATGGTCTGTGAGAGATATAGGGTAGTCCCATATACATCTTTCTGTGTGTAGTGCTTGTAACTTTACGAAGAATGGGCCAAATTTCTTATCATTTTGATGATTCCAGAACCTTGCAGATGCTAGATGCTAGATGATCAACCTTTTCTGATCGATTCCACAACGTTTCTTTAACAATGCAATCGCATGACCATAACTGGTCTTTACCTTTAAACCTTAAAGTAGCCTATGTCTAGCATAATACAGCAGTGCTTTTTTTAATGGAAAGCTTTTGTCATGTAACTTTGTATGCGTATCTGAATGTAGAAAATTCGAAGGGGCAGAGCTCATATAACAGGTTAGCATAACTGTTTACTGTTAATGTAACACAGTCCCAGCTTTAGAATATCCCTGTAATTATTTTCCCCTTCGGTCTTTTCCTGAGAGCTACATTTTTATTTGTGTGTATTGAGAATTGAGCTTGTTGTCAAGCCTGGCCTGGCTCGCCATGCCACGTCTGACGTGTCTAAGGTTTCTTTGAAAGTAGTGAAAGCAAATTGATGAAGTTAAGTGATTTTAATCCATCTCAGGGCTTTTTGGAAGGATAATATGCTACACGAGGTGAATGGAGCCATTCTGGCTTTCGTATTACGCCCGGTAATCCGACCTTAAAACCTAGTACAAAGGAGAGAGAGTTGATAAATGCGAGTAATGTAGAACCAAAAATAAAAAAAAAACACGAGTATATATTCCACCAAGAGTGGCTAGTAACTTCTTGATTCAACTAAAAATAAGACGGGAGAGGCTGGAAGAAAGGTGCAGAGACACATAAAAGAAGGTGGAGAGGAATACAAATGAGTGAATAACTACGGACCTATAAGGCCAGTGAGAATGAAACAAGAGAGAACGGGAGGAGGAGGAGGAAGAGGAGGAGGAGGAAGAAAGAGAGACAGACAGACAGAGAGAGAGACACAGAGAGAGACACAGAGAGAGTCGGACAGAGAAAAGAGAAACTTAGCGAATGTAACCACATTGATAAAACGAAGTTAATCCGGAAATGTCTCTGAAAGTATTGGCGCATTGCCTTTTGTGGTTGTTGCTTTTCTCTTTCTTTCGAGACTCGTTAACATTCCATTAAACGAAATAGGCCTGCTCAAAAGCTCGAAAGAACTACAAAAGCGAGAAAGAGACATTAAATGTGTTTTATTAATCTCTCGATAGAATAGAATACGAATGGTCTCTATTTTTGAGAAGTTACCACGATACTTAAATCAGGTACCAATCCCTTCGACGTGCTTCAATAACAAATAATCGGATTTGAAGATAATCTCTGAGAAGACCTTCTGCGTTGCAATTAACAAAAAATAGGCTTTTCAGTCAAATATTAAACATTTGCAATGGATAAAAAAGGGATCAGTTGAAAACAATCGCTGACGTCCTTCCTGTTGTCGTGATTCGGGTGAGAAGCAATGCTTTAAATCGTTATTAATGACGAAATGGAGGATGAAGTACTGAAGATGTTTTTGTCTGGAAACCCAATGTTGCCACAATAATGCGACAGCAGTCTGACATTTAGTCTGAGTCTGAGGATTTGAAGGATAGTTATGTAAGGTTAGATAGTCCAGAATCTGGCCTATTTAGTTTTGATCTCCACCACACCAACGCAATATGCGACCTCCCCTATATACCTTCTGTCAGCCGAAGGTGGCGTGATCATGAAATTAGGGAAACATGGTCACTCAACTCCAGCAACAGATAGACCATAATGTGATAACCATTGGGCTTGGGCTTGGGCTTGGGCTTGGGCTTGGGCTTGGGGGGGGGGGATGATCACTGAGCCCATAGATTGGAACTTCTATTTCTTTAAAATGATGATCAGAGATAAACGCATGTGATAGGCTATAAGTGAAAATCGAAAACCTAGAACCTAGAACTTCGAGGAAAATATAAGTAGGCTATAAGTATAAGTATAATTCGAAATTACCGACGGATTAGGCAAGAAAGAAAGAAAGAAAGTTGCAAATGAAGGGGGAGGCGATATTGGCACCTACCGACAATATTCATATAGCTGAGAAAGTCAGCTTAGTTCCGGTTTACGTGGTGACACGCCCCCTCCCATCCTCTCCTCCTCTCCCTCAACCCTCCCTCTCCCTCTTTAGCATTACGGCCCCCATGCCGACTTGGGGGTCAATGAACTGGGCCACGTAGGGGGGCTACACCCCCATCAGTCAACACCCTCTTCGTAACCTCATCGGTCATTTTTTCTGGCTATCACCATGGAATATCTACTTGGTTGCCATAGCACTTGAGAAAACTATAACAACATTAATACTGTTGAAAGAACCGGGGACGTGCGAATCATTCACGGCAGAGAGCAACCTAACAACGCATGTTATTAGAATTTCTGACCACGAAACTTGGGGTTGAGTTTGTTCAGCTTGTGTGAATGATGTTGCTGCTTTTAAAGTTCCAACAAGAGGGATGTGAAGAGGGGTGGATATATGGGTGGGGCGGGGTCGATTGGGATAAAGGGGGGTTAGTGGAGACAGGTTTATTGGTTTATTGGAATCTGGAGAGACCCTCCGTGATTTCAGCACATGTTTTACAAAAGAGAAGGGGGAATGAAATATAATGCTATGCTTTCAAAATAGAGAGACAGCCTCTGAAATCCCTTTTGCATTTCTACTAGAGGATTAACAAGGTTCCACACTTCCATTAACCATAATAATAGACTTTGCATCATGAGCACCTACCAATAACGAATAGGAATGTATGAGAATACTACGAAATCCTTGAACAAACCTGCAATAAAACACAACTAATAGCTCATAAATGCCAAGAAGGTGAGATAAATGTCATTAAAGAGGGTTGGAATGTTACGGTTATGATACTATTTCTAGAAAGAAATAAACAAAGCGTGCTGTTATGAGAAGAGCGCATAATGACCTATCTATTTGAGACATCATCGCTTGTAAATCAATATGATTTACGATATAAGATGCGGTCTTGGTTGATAGAGGTTGAAATAGTTTCATGACATAATCAGAGGGTCTGAAAACGAAACCCGATCGTCACCACAACCTCGATACACTCCCAACTCTTTCATACTAATTATTCTTCGAACTCTCTTACATATAATTACAACAATCAATCGAAATGTAAAGGGCACATACATCCGTATTGAAAGAAACAATATGATTATTTTTATTCTGATAACTACAAGGAGAGCAATCCTTTTGGCAACAACCAAACATCAATGCCTGTAATTACAAAATAAATTGGAGCGCAAAACTCCTCGGAAAATATTATCCTTTCTTTCGTGTGGTCTTATTGTGAACAAACTTCGGCTGCTTTCCCTTTTGTATCTCCTGTATTTAGTTGCACTGAATTGCATGTAGTGCAAACTGTGCAATGCTGTTGAAAAGAAAAATTTCCCAAATTTGTTCCACTTGTGAATGGTCAATAAAGTAAAAAAAAAAGTTATCAAACCATCCATCCGTTTTCACAAGGGGGGGGGGGGGCACGTGTAAGTGCAAAAATACGCCACGGGGATGTACTGTGTATAATTTTGCAAAAGATTGTGCAAACTGGGCTTGCACTTTTTACCCGAATTTGAACATGCCCTACATCCCTCTTGGAAGTTATTTGCGACATATCTCTACTTCAAGTTCACGTTTCGGTATTTTAATTGTCGTCTCAGTAGACCCTTGGCATATAAATCACCATCATAAACTCAGTTATCCATCAATGACGAAAGGGGGCTTTGGCTTTCCCCGACGAAATATATATCGGAGATGGGGGGGGGGGGGCGACTCTACGAACAATTTTATGATAAACAATATGGGATCATTAGGGCCTAATCCACCTTCTCTGATTGATGGGTATTAAACACAAAGGTTTCGGATGGAAAACCTATTTTCGTTGGGTAAAAAAGTTCAGTATTTATATGGGTGGTCAGGTTTTGACGCATCGCGGCTCAAATACTTTGGAATTTTCTTCTTAGTTTGCA